AAACAAATATCAAGTTTCTCCTCAGTATCTGTGGAGTAAGTCAGCTGGCATAAACTCCACAGAGCGGGTGTCTCACAGTGCGGTCCCCCGAACGCCAAAGATCCTGGACTCATAAACAACAAATCCACATGTTTCTCCAATTTCATAATCCTCTCACAAGCGCTGTCGATAGCTTTGATAAGCGAAACCTCAGCTTCGACGAATTGTATGGTAGCATTGGGGTTGTATTCGTTAAGCAGAGCGAGTTCACCCGCAAACCTCGCTTTCGACCGACCAATAACGCAGAATCTCGGATTAGGCAAAGTCCGCATAAGGACCTTGAGAGTAGCGAGACCAATACCCCTCGTTGCGCCTACAAAAACTGCCACGAAGGATTGGGGAGCGGGGTGTGATGACGACATTCTGTGCTGACGGGTGCTTATCGTCTGATACGGACAGCTATTCTAACCAGCTTCTGAACTGAAATTCTTCCGCCTTTTTACAGGCGAAAGGGAATGAGAGGCGAGACCGAAGTGCATGGCGAGATACTCGGGGTATCGTTTTCCAGGACGCGGTCTGCAATGGGTACTATACCCGATGCGATGAAGGATTCTCCGGCAGATGCATGTCTGCACGACCGGCCCGGGCGGCACGGAGAATTAGAGTCTCTGTTTAGCACGGGTGAGTACCGTTAGTGTGACATCCACGGTACCTACTATCCTGCTGGCCGATGCTCATGTCGAAGGCATCGAGGGGTAGTGCTATAGCTTAGAAATTGGTCTTGTAGACTGAACGAATTGGCCCTGCTACACCATTGTTTTTGTATCACTTGGAAGTTCAAGCTCACTGAGATGGCGAACCCCAAAAACCTTAGCATGAATCAGCTCAACATAGACTGGCAGCGTGTCGCCTCCACCTGGCAGACAGCTTCCCCAGCCTCACGAGTGATCGTCACCCTCAGTACACTCTCACTCACAGCGCTTCTCATCTCAATCATCTACGAACTCTACTTCTCCCCGCTCTCCAAATTCCCCGGCCCAAAACTCTGCGCCATCTCGCGCATTCCTCATCTCATAGCAACAGCCAGCGGACGCCAACTCCCCTGGCTCATCAATCTGCACAACAAATACGGCGGCGTCGTTCGCATTGCCCCAGATGCTCTGACTTTCACTGATGAGCGCGCCTGGGCTGACATCTGCGGTGCATCAAAAGCTGCTAAAGATGGAATGGCCAAAGATCCTCGTCTTGCGGCTTTGGTCGGTGGTGATTTGGTGAATCCAGATCCTGCGAAGCCGAGATCGCAGCAGACTCATAGTGTTATGAGAAAGGCGATGGTTCCGGCGCTGAAGCGTGAGAATGTTAAGAAGCTCGAGGGTATGATTAATGGGCATATTGAGGAGTATCTCTCAGCTTTGCAGCAGGCTAGCGAAAGGAAAGAAGCTGTTGATATGCGAGACATGAACAGTTTTCTCATCTGCAATCTCATCGCCGACCTCTTCCTCGGTGAATCTCTACATCTCTTCACTGATAAGGAGTTCGTTCCATGGGTACACTCTTTCGATCGCTTCGCACGAGGTGTCACCATCCTTGCTGTTCTCAACCGCTTTCCATTCCTACACAAATTCCTTCTATTTGCTGTTCATCGCTGGGGAAGCGGTGAGCGTGACTCTTTCATGGCGCCCATCTTTGCACGCTTTGATCGTCGTGTTGCTCTGACTTCAGCTCGACATGACATGCTACAAATGGTCCTTGATGGAGACTCCGAAGGTACTGGGCGTCAGGGAACTATGCCTCTTGACCTTCTACGAGAGTTTGCACCATTCCTGATGTTGGGTGGCTGTGAGGCTATGCCTACAGTACTGACTGGTTTTGTCTACTTCGTCTTTCGCAAGGAGAGTGCAGATATCAAAAAGAAGCTTCTAGAGGAGGTTCGCGGAGCCTTCTCTAGTGACTCGGATATCACCATGGACAAGATCAGCCAGTCTCAGAAAGACCTGCCATACCTGGAAGCATGTCTTCAAGAGTCTATTCGCTGCTACTCACCCGCTGCAACCGGCACTGACCGTGTAGTACCTTCATCTGGTGCTCAAATCGCAGGCCGCTTTGTGCCCGGTAACACGGTGGTTATGATGTTGCATCAAGTGACCTACTCAGTCAGACAAAATTTCTCGAGAGCTGCTGAGTATGTTCCCGAGAGATGGCTTCCTGAAGAAAAGGGTCGGCCTCAGGATTGTATCGATGATGTGAGGGGCAGTGTTCGCCCGTTCTCGGTTGGCCCGCAGTCTTGCTTCGGACAGGAGTGAGTGTCACAATCACATGAACTTCCCTGAGATTTATGCTAACACTCTACAGACTGAGCTTTTATGTTTTGCGGCTGGCGTTGTGTAAGCTTTTGTATCACTTTGATATTGAGCTCACGCCTGAGTCTGAGAATTGGGTTGATGGGCAGCTCACTTTTGGTACAAGGTCAAAACCTCCGTTGATGGCATATGTCAAGAAAGCATCAACATAGTCAGATTCGAATGTCTGTATAAATTACACCCCTGTTTCCTGTGAATAGTTTATGTAATGAGCGGTGACTTTCAAACCTCTGGCTCGTGGAGCTGTCCCTTCTGGTAGATGCAAAGCGAAGGCGTGACGAATGCACGATGTAATAGAACCTGAAGGTATTTTAAGTAGCCGAAACCCATTTATCCTATATAAGAAAGAGTGCAAGGCCACTTTCAGTCGTTAGGAGAAAGCCTGAACTGATTCATCACGCTTCCGGAGTCTTTCTCTTATGAAAGTAATGCCTATATTGTAATGTACAGACTAGCCAACTTACTCACTACGATCCTTCACAACCCTGACCATAACACCCTTTGAGTTCAACGGCGGCATACCCACAAAGAAATCATGAGCAATCTCCACATCCCTCCTCGTCGTGCCAACCAGCTCAAGATCGAACCTCGAGAAGATAGTCGCAACAGTGAGATACAGCTCAGCGTATGCAAGATTCATACCAATGCACTGACGGCTTCCTCTACAGAAAGGTACGAAGTGACGGCTCAGACTAGCCTTACCGTGGGTCCAGCGCTCTGGGTCAAATTTGAAAGGATCTGGGTAGTGTTCCTCGTTTGTGTCAATGAGATATGAGGATGAGCTCATGCGAGTCTAGAGGAGTCAGTATTATGGTAGTAAGTGGAGAGATAGAGACTTACTCCTCGAGGAAGTTTATATCCGGCATAAACAAGATCTTCCGTTGGTGCATAACGGGGTAGCCGTCCAGGAACACCAAACGAGAGTCTGATACCTTCCTGGATGACTCCCGTCTTCAGGTCGTTAGTGATTATCAATAGATGCATAGGATCAACTAACCAGATATGAAAGAGGCTCAAGCTTTGCAACAGTGACCGGTGAATCTGCATCGCCCATCACTGTTTGAAGTTCCTTCCTCAGTGTAGCTAACATATCCGGATTCTCGGTAAGATGAAAACTCAGCGTTGTCAACGCCGCAGCTGTCGTTTCAGTACCAGCACCCAGAAAGATAGCTGCCTCAGACTTGAATCTCTCAAGAGTCTTATCCGCTAGGGGGAGTTGCTTGCTATCTCTCATCTCATGAAAGACAGTTCTAATCCCATCTTTCTTCTCCTTTGCCAGGACATCTGAGATTTGACCAGAGATCTTCTTGTCATAATCAGCCAGAGGCTGGAGCTTTGGGTCAAGCTTGGCAAGGTAGCTAATAGGAATTCTTTGGATGATATCAAAAAGCCATGGAAACATGCGTCCAACTGGATGAGCCTGAGGCATCTCATGGAAGAAGTCTAATAGCTCTTTGCCGAACTGGTCTTGCTTCATGTTATCCATGCTCTCGCCAAAGCAATACTGTGCAATGACATCCATGGTGAGACCGCTGTAGAGAGCTTTGATATTCACAGCCTCTCCGCTCTGTATAAGTGAGTTCATTCTACCAGCCAGTTGCTGAACAGTCTGTAGGATCTGTGGCTCAAGAGCGCGGATAGACTGCTTCGAGAAAGACCCCGACAATGCAGCCCGCCGAACGCGATGTGTTTCAGCAGCGTAACTATCGAACATGCTTTCATCGTGGGTAGACATGAAGCGAACTTTGTTACGAGGATGATGCGGCCCACTGGCATAGATTTCATCGTAGAAGCTATCATCGTTGATATGAACCTCGTAAGGGTTGATTCTCACGATTGGACCATACTGACGATGAAGGTCTTGTATCTTCCAGAGGAATCTGCCTCGTTTGACAACATCATAGTAAAACTCATAGAAGAACGTGAGAGCTGCCAATTTGGGTCCTGGTATTTTTGCCAAAGGTGATAGATACAGGCGGTAGATGATGGTGTAGGCGATGCGCAGTGCAATGAGAGAAGCTGCCACTGTCAGCAGCGTTCCGGTGTTCAATTGCAAACTTTCCATGGTTGTCTTGGTGCTGAGACGTGAACTGACCCAATGCAGAGATGAGACAGTATGACAACTACCCATCTTACCAGGCATGACAGCATATACGAAAGCTATCTCACCAACCCACCATCACAAAACTAGTTCTGATGTAAAGGTGCCGTTTTCCCGCCCATCCTTCGGCATGTGAATCTTCACCACCAGATCGGAGAAAACACTCCGATTGACGTGAGCGGCAAAAGACAATGTCGTATCCGGCATAGTCGAACTTGGTGCGTAAGCGGTCAGCCCATTTCCCCTCCATTTTCCGTTGCCGTGCTTGAATCCTTCGACACCCCACGGAAAACCCCTGTTTCACCTTATTCTTTAGGCTAGTGAGCCGTTGATCCGGCTTTAGTATAATCAGCGCGGCAAATACTCGTATGCAGCGTCGGCCGCCGTATCAGACAACGATACGGGCCGTTCCGTGCACTACGCGCACTAGTTTTGGGGGCGTTTTACAGATTAGAAGGGAACAGTTAAAAGAAGGTGTTGATTGATGCATTTGAGAGTAGCAATATTGGCAATTGAACTCCACAAACAAAACAACAAGGTTATCTTTGCACAAATCAAGAATGGCTACTGAAGCAGTGAACCAGCCTGCCCAGATGGGTACCGACCCCAGCGTTGCCAATGGCACTGGTATGGATGCCCTGATGGAGGATGCGAAGAAGCGTGGCTTGCAGGAAGAGATTTCGCGTCTGACTGATAACCATTTGGTCTACACTGATGCTGCTGGCGGCAAACTCTCGTATGCACCAGTTGATTGGAAGAAGCCGGGTCTGAGAATTCTCGATTCTGCTACCGCAGACGGTATGTATGCCTCCCAAATCATGAGGCACGGGCGATGATAACGGTAATTTAGGTATCTGGCTGCAGGATCTTCGCAAGCAAGCTGGTCCTGTTGCTGATGAGCAAACCTACATTGGCACTGATCTAGTCGAGGACTTGTTCCCCAAGCCTCGACCCCACGGAATTGAGTTCACGAAACAGTCCATCACAGAGCCATGGCCCGCTGAGTGGAAAGAGTCCTTCGACCTCGTCCACCAGCGCCAAGTCCTCGGCTTCTGCGGCAACTTCTCCCTCGAGCAAGCCGTCGCCAATCTCTGCGCCCTCGCCAAACCCGGCGGCTGGGTCGAGCTCGTAGAACTTGACTGCGACCAGAGCCTCCTGGAGGAAGGCACCGCAGCGCACGAGTTCTTCCGTCTTCTTGAGCAGATCTGGAAGATCAAGAAGATGGGCGGCAACTTTGGCCCCAATCTCAAAGAGTGGATGGAGAATGCGGGGCTGGAAGATGTCCAAGTCGATGTCTTGCAGTGCAAGGTTGGCGCAAAGGCTAAACCTGAGCTGAAGCAGGCTAGTATCAACGGCGCAGCGGGTGCGGGGCCGATGATTGTGGCTATGGCACGCAGTAAGTTTACTTCGGACCTTTTTATCCTTGATTAGTGCTGACCTTTGATGATAGCTCTTCCCGAGTTGGAGGGGTTTACTACTGAGCAGCTTGATACTCTTGATACTAGAGTTCGCAAGGAGCTTGCTGAGAAGGGGGCTGAGTTTCAGAGCTTTGCTGTCAGGGGTCGTGTTCCTGCCGGAGGATTGAAGCCTAAGAAGTAGATTCTAGAACTTTGATATGATAGTACTTTGGTTGGAAGAATCAAGATAGTTGTCACTAGAATTTAAAGAAGAGGTTATTCGAAATTATCATCAAACCACTTTCTGGCTGGCTTGACCTGTCCTCAATTCATGCAGAATCGTGACTTTGCACCATGGGATCATAATGATTAGTAAACATTGATGTCTTTACAAGTGTTCAACCGAATGATAGTAGCCAATCAGGACTTAATCGACCCGAATGCATGCACATTTGATAATTATCATTGAGCTGCTATTGCCTTTTTGCCTATCAAACTGTAACGCTTACAGCCTTGTGGGGTTGGAAGGATCTGCGTGATAAAGTGCGAGGACCCGCCTCGGATCACGCCCTGTAATCACCATTGGTCAAGATGCGAGTGAGACAATTATTGGCTTCTGTACAAGGTAACTCGTAAGAGCAGTCGCTGTAACGCTCATATTAGTAGGATTTGTTCTGCATGTCAGAGGAGCTTTCGTTGTGGATAATGCTGAGAGGTCCCCCACTCGTCATCCCCCATTGCAACATCGCCAAAGTTTAAATGTCACCTACCTGCCGTATCGAGATCGACATTCCATTTACCCCAAGATTCTTAGGTCCCCGTGATGGGGAAACGTTGGGGAAATGTGCACGAATGTCACTGCGCTTGGACGTCAGTAGTCTGTAGATAAGCAAGAATTTGTGGTATAACACTCGCCAGGACAGCTGGCCAACTCTGAAAGATACTACTCACCATTATAATAGTCTTAGATACGAATGATATGACATAATTCTATTTATCACATTGGACTCAGTAGTATGAGTCCCAGAGGATTAAGAACCATGGTCTTTGCATCTCTTGGAACTTCCCCAAGCTGGAACCCCGTATTGACCTGCGCAACTGGGCTTAAGCGCCCAGAATACCAAGCTTTTTAGCCTTACTCACAAGCCGTCCTGCCACACGCACTCAGACGCTCCCAACCCTCGCTAATGCATTTGTGGCGAGCTGACCACTCGGGACCGATGCCATTATGTGCCAGTGATCCTTCGCCCCACTGCCGACGGCAATTCTTTTAAAGTCCGTAGGACTGGGCGAATAAGACGCTGCAGTGAGATACTGATAGGGTCGTCGAAATTGGCCCTGTCTGAGATTATGAGGAAACATGATCTGATTAGACTTCCGCGGAATCTGCATCTGGGCGGAGAACTTTATCCGGAGGATCTTACACGCAGCAACAACCTTGGCATATTCGTCATGACTTTTTCCTTCAAAAGATTGTAAAGAACTTGAAGCTCTAGGTCCACCAATTGAGATTCCGCATTGACCTTGAGATGCCGGGTGTTATGGGGGAGGTGTAACTCAAAGAGCTAGGATTGCATCCTTCGATCGACGCGTATCAAAACGTGTCGAATATGGCTGACTGCAGTGGAAGTCGAACGTTATTTGCATTATTTACAGAGAGAAATAGGCCTTCTTGCTGACTACGGTTCATAGCTGCCGAGAAAAGATAATTCCAAGGTAATTACTGTACTTGCATGACAACATTGACGCCCTGGGCGTATCATTTCTATAGTTCGTGACACCATCCTATTGCCGTGGACATAAGCTCCTATACATATGAACCGTCATCAATAGCTCCTTCTCAAAGATAGAGGTGCCTCCTGTCATCCAGACAACACCCACTTACGGTTAAACCAAGCCAAACTATCCATAACCAAAACCCATTAACTCCCCTCTCCCAATGGATCCAGGCCCAGCATACAAACGGCGCCGTCCCGCCGTAGCATGTACCGAATGCCGCAGACGAAAGATTCGCTGCGACCGTCACTCTCCCTGCGGGCCCTGTAGCAAATCAATGCCGAGCCTGCGATGCGTGTACAACAACCAGCCAACAGCTCGTATTCCCGAGAGTTATCTGGATCCCGGGATGCAACAGCAGCACGACTCGTTGGCTCTGAGCGGTCACGCGCATAGAGTACCTTTTGAGCAGTCGATCTTTGGACAGCAGCCTTTTGATGAGGTGCAGGAGATGGATCTTTTTAACGTGGATGTTGCGCCCATGACTGATGTGTCGCTGGGGTTTGTTGATATGGACTTTTTTGGGATGAGTGATGTTTCGCACTCGAAGTCAGCTTCTATTGATTCGACAAGCTCGCTTCTTCAAAGTCTATCTAGATCGCCATCTTGGACAACTTCAAGCCTTCCCTCAACGATGGCCAGCAGTATTACAAATTCACTACAAAACTTGCCTCTCGCGCAAACCAAGAGTTCAGGAAGGTCTTCAGCAGCCCAAACTCGAGAACGAGAGTATTCTAGCACCGAAGACCACGAGAGGCATTGGTCTGAGCCATTTTCAAAATGTGGCAAGCTGAGATTCCTCGTGGACAACCTTTCTGGAGACGACTTCCATCTTTCCTCTGAGCAAGAAACCCTTCGACCACTTTTTGAGACTTACAGGAGACTCCTTCGCGATAGTCGGAGAACTCAAGAAGCAAGACTCACCAGCGAGAACTTGATGCCAACTCAAAACGGTGCTCGTGGTATGCTTCCAGCCAGAAGAACGTGCGACTCACTTGTTGATTCGTATATCAAGACTTTTGAGTCTGTACTGCGCATCATCCACGTGCCGTCTTTCTTGAGAGATTATGAACACTTCTGGGAAGATTCTGCTTCAACAATCTCAAGCTCTGATGAAATATTCGCGTGTAGGCTACTTCTAGTAGCAGCACTTGGGTCCATCACCTTCACCCCGGCAGAGTCACAGCAAGGTCAGGCCACTTCATGCCGAGAACAGTCAAGCAGCTGGATCTCCTACGTCAAAGACTGGCTCGCCCGAAAGAGCATGAAAAACATGCGAGGAGATCTAAGTATGGCACAGATCGCCTGTCTCCTAGCCCTGACACGTCACACGCACCACCAAGATTCCGCCCCCATGGGCGTAGCATGGCTCTCCGAAGGACACGGTCTAACTCACATGGCCGTCCAGATGGGTTTACACCGGGAACCAAGAGTCCGGTCGCCGAACATGTCCCCGAAGGAAGCCGAGATTCGGAGACGCCTTTGGGCCACGATGTTGGAGTTGTCATTACAGGTTTCTGTCGACCAGGGTCTTCCAGCTCCTATTGCACCGGAGAGCTATGATTGTGAGCTGCCGAGTAGTATTGCGGATGAGGACCTGGTGCTTGGAGTTGAGTCACAGGGGTCAAATCAATCATCTGTCCTGACGCTTCTGGCAAAGACACAAAGTCTGCGTCTGAGAATACTCCAACTTGTTAACGCACCCGGGTCGTCAAAGACATATCAGGAATGTCACAATCTTGCATCTGAACTCAACACGGAATGTTCCGCCAGCGATCTCAAGCTAGGTTCACCGCTCAGCGACTTTCAGACTGGCTTTTTGACTAGCTTCACCAAACCCTTTGTGCTGGCGCTGCATGAAGCCTTTGCCGAGGAAGCATATTCGAAACCGGAATACTACTATTCACGAAGAATGCGTATGGAAATCTCAGCCCAACTGCTATCGTCGACAACAAGTCAAGGCCCGTACCCAGCACTACTTACGAATGGGTCAGGACAGTTTTCTATCATGTATAGACAGGCCACAATGTCCCTATGCCTGGATCTAATCCGAGATTTTGAGGAAGACTCTTTTCCCAATTTGGACAGTGCTTCTAGAGCACAACTTCGAGATATCCTGTCCAACGCAATTACAATATTCAAAAGACGTGTCGAAACGTCACGTGGCTCAGAGTCAACAGAGGAGTTTATTTTATTCTCATGTGCATTCTCCTACGTTGAGAGTCTACAGCGAAAGGAGGACAAGGATAAGATGAGTGTGAAGGTCAACGAAACAGCAAAGACTGCACTGAAAGTCTGCTCCGATGTAATGGAAAGGCAGAGGCGGAGGGAGTCACTCGCAGAGTCAGATGTTTGGATGGGCTGAAAATTCTTCGACACTTCGGAATAGTTACTGCATGCTTGGCTTCATTATCTTATCAAACTGAGTTTACTATTTGAACGTGAATGGAGCATTCCTTGGTTGTCCGCGTCCATACCACTCTTTCGAGTTGCTTTACTCCAGTATGAGATCCAAGGCAGCATACCTTTTGACTGGCCGCTTCAAGCAACACCAAGCTCTCTCGTACGATGATAACTTTCGGATAGAAGCTCTTAACCCGAGAATGTGAGATTACATGGTGGAAGCGGCGTGGTATATGCACGGGAAATCCCACGGGGAATCCTTCGGGGAATCTATCCCGCGCCGTCTCATCCTTGCTTTACAGTGCGATAACGTGCTAAAAAGTACGAAGGAAGCACTGTCTGATGTTTTACCCCGTAATATCTCGACGGTCGAGATCTAGTTGCTTGTCGATAGGAGCCTTGCGGCGATGCATGTCCTATACTAATATTCTACAGTTTATCATAGCCATCCAAAACGCCACCAGATTTGATACCGTGATTATCCCAAACTCTTTTTTCCAGAGCAAGCCAAGGTGAGATAGACGTCAGGGTACTATACACGAAACAATGGCGCTTCATCAATTATTGCTCCAGCAGCTCTCGACTCGCAATATCCCAATTCTTGCAGTTGGGGCATTTTTCCTCCTACTTATCTTCCGGAAGCTTTTCACAAGTAGCCCAAATTCTGAAGCAAAAGGCTGGAAGCCAATCCCTCGCTACTGGCAATGGGATCGAATATGGGGTCTTGATCTGGTAGCGAGTCAGATCCATGCCTTGCGATCAAACCAGTTCTTGGCATGGCTGGCTAAGCTTCATGCTAGCATGCCTCACACAAAGACCTTCAGTATCAACATGTTTGGTGTCAAGTGGATCTACACCTACGATCCTGAAGTCTTGAAGGCTGTCTATGCAACTCATTTCAAGGAATTTGGTGTTACGCCAATTGGAAATCTTCGGAGAGGACTGACCCCCTTCGCTGATAAAGGTGCAATCACTACTGATGGTGAGGACTGGAAGCACAGTCGCTTCTTGATCCAGCCCTTCTTTGATCGTCAGGTTTATACGAGCACAGACAGAGTGGCTCGACACACGGACCAGTTCATTAAACTACTACCTGAGAATGGTGAAACTGTTGATCTCCAACCTCTACTGCAACGATGGGTATGTTATCTTAACCTTACCTAGTGTCCAACCAACTGACACTGTTTATCCAGTTTCTGGACATTGCTACGGAGTTCATCTTTGGCGAGTCAACTGAAGCCTTGGTATATCCTGAGCGAGCCAAGATTGCCAACACAATGCTTGACGTGCTTGACGGTGGTCGCCTCCGCGCTCAGCTCAACAGGCTCATGTTTCTTCGTGATTGGACTCCCTGGCTGAAGTCAGTCGAAGAAATCCACGCCTTTGTCACTCCTCCCATTCGAGAGACCATCAAGGAGAAGCACGAGCGTGAAAAGAAGATTAAAGAGGGCACAACTGACTTGGAACCCGAGCGAACTGATCTTCTTTGGACTATGGTCCAGAATCTGGAAGATGTTGAGGAGCTTAGATCACAGATCTGCTTGATTCTCGTCGCCAACATCGACACTACATCTGTGTTTATCAGTAACTGTGTCTGGTGGCTTGCTCGCTATCCTGATGTTTGGGATAAGATTCGCCAAGAAGTCCATGAACTGGGCAACATCCCGATGAACTTTTCAGTTCTACGAAACATGAAGTATCTGAACTGTGTCATGAATGAGAGTAAGTGCATCACCTTATTTTCTCCGCAACTTCTTATCTAACGGGAAAGCTCATCGCATGATTCCTAACAACGTCTCTCAACTTCGCGGTGCGTTTGAGGACGTCGTGATACCGGTAGGCGGCGGCCCAGATGGCAAATCTCCAACTCTCATTCGCAAGGGTGATCTTGTTCTCATCAACAAGACCGTCATGTACCGTGATCCTGAGGCCTGGGGTGAGGACTCCAACGAGTTCAAGCCCGAAAGATTTGACGGATATCGAGGCTCTTGGGGCTTCCTACCTTTTGGTGGCGGGCCCAGACGATGTCCAGCACAGATGATGGTTCAGACTGAGGCGGCATATATCCTTGCTCACCTTGCCAAGACTTTCAAACGCATCGAGCCTCGGGACCCAGAACCTTACGTGCCAGTTATGAGAATTGGGCCATCGAACAAGACTGGTGTCAAGGTGGCTTTATACAGATGATCTAGGTTTCTTAGTATAGCTTTATTGTTTCCGATGCTAGAAGGCATTTCATTGTTGTTCTACGGCGTCTAGTTCCCTTCAGGGTGCTTAGTGGAGTATCTGTGTATACAGCACTGCATCGCATAATGTCAACTCACGCCTGAGAATGTCACAGATACTTAATCTTAGAGTTGAATTAGCAGCAATATTTACTATCATATTCCTAGATTTCTCTTGTCGTATATCAAGCCGTTGCCTTTCATTTGTGCCATGTTTCATGTCTTTATATAGATCACCACAAACGCTGTCGGCGAAATCTTTGTCAAAGCCCAAAAGAACTTTTCTAGAGGATCACTTTTAGAATCTCTAATAGGGATGGAAAGACAAAATGGAATAGTTGAAATTAGAGATGTGGTGTCTGATTGGACACGGAGAATAACGGGATATTACGTGTTACACCGAGCCCTACCTTGACATGCGTACACGAGTCGCATTTTGGAGTGGATCTATCCGTACCATCAACTCTGGATCGTTGGCCTTCACCGTAGAGTGGGCCAATTATAGATTCTATCTGTAGTTTTTGAACTTACTCGATAGTACTCTTGCTTTCATCCAGTTCTTCATCTAAAAACCTCCACCTTCACAGCGAATAGAATACCAGTCTGAATACTAGCGCTATGGAACTCGCCATCGCACAACCGATCACGCTGAAATGCGGGCTCACTTTACCAAATCGACTCACCAAAGCCGCCATGGCCGAAAGGTTGGCTGATAAAGATGGCCTTCCAGGTGGCAAACAATGTCTCGCAACCTACAGTGAATGGGCGAAAGGGGGTTGGGGATTGATCATCAGTGGTGCGGGCCCCTCGAACTATAACAACTCATCACATTCTTGACCGATCGATAGGTAATGTTCACATCGATCCTGCTCATCCTGGTGCACCAGGGGACTTCACAGTGAACCGGGATCTCCCCAGAGAAAAGACTCTTACAGCTTGGAAATCTTGGGCCAGTGCCTGTTCACTCAACGGAACCAAAGCCATTGTTCAGATCAACCACCCAGGTCGACAAGCACCATTTGTCAAGAGCTTAGCTCCAAGTCCAATTCCTTTAGATCTCGGCAAGGGTCTATTTCCGTGGCTTGTCAGATCCTTGGTATATGGAACGCCAAAGGAGATGGCCCAAGCTGATATAGACGATGTGGTGACGAGGTTTGCAGAAGCAGCGCAGTTATCAGTGGAAGCAGGATTTGCTGGTGTAGAGATTCATGCTGCACATGGGTACTTGTTGGCGCAGTTCTTATCTCCTCTGTCTAATGAACGAACAGATTCTTACGGCGGTTCTCCGTTGGCAAGCGCCAAGATCGTTATTGACGTCGTTAAAGCTGTCAGGAAGGCTGTACCAGCGCAGACATGTGTTGGGATCAAGGTCAACTCAACTGACCATACAGATCTAGGTGACTTTATCATACAATTGAAAGCCATAGTCGATGCTGGAGTCGACTTTGTCGAGGTTAGTGGAGGGTCCATCGAGGACCCTATGTTCAGCACTGGCCTGCACACAACAGTGAAGGCAAGCACCAAGGCACGAGAAGCCTTCTTCATCGACTTTGCAAATGCAATCAGATCTGAGCTCCCGGATGTTCCCATCATGCTGACTGGTGGCTTTCGGACACGTCAGGGCATGGAGGCTGCTGTGAAGGGAGGCAGTTGTGATTTGGTCGGTTTGGCTCGACCCTCTGTCATAGACCCAGCTCTTCCAAAGAAGGTCTTGGACACCAGCATACCTGAGCATGGGGCTTTGGCGTATGCCAAGAGGATTGAGGCGTGGAGTTGGGCGAAGTATACTGGCATCAAGGCTGTTGGGATGGGAGCTGAAACGGTATGTCTTTCTTTTTCTTTTGCTGAGAGCGATGAACTGATCACCAAAATAGCTCTGGTATACCAACCAGATTGGGCGGTTAGGGACGACAAACAATTGAGTTGGAGTATCAAGGTTTTACATCATATATAGAGTTACAAGTATAGTCATTAACCTCGGCACCTCTATCACTCGGATAATAATGTTCAGAATGCGACTTGACTTTCGTGAACGATGTTTAATGTCTGTTCACCTCCCATATGCACCTAAGCAATATTCGTTATTGACTTCAGGCGAGAAAAGCTGCTAGCCATAAAAGTATCACGCCACAATACAGCGTAAATCACAACAAAGAAGCCGATCGGAACTCATCCTACAAATACAACCATAATGGAAAACAACAACGCTATCATTATTGTCGGAGCCGGTTGCATTGGACTTTGCACTGCATACGAGTTGTCCAAGTCCTTCGATGATCAGGAGCGTATGCCCCGTATTATCGTCGCTGAGGCATGCGACAGACCATTCGCTGCTGCTTCGTCAGCTTGCACAGGTTGCTTTCACTGCCACTTCCCTGGACCTCTGAGCAAGGCACTTGCACCTCTTGGGAAATATTCTTTCGATCTATGAGCGCAAGAGACCCAGAACGCCGACTTCAGACTTACTACGGGGCACCGTGAAAATTCCTCTTACGGTATCCTACAAGGCGACGGCAAGGGCCTTGAAAGGCTCCCCAACTGGATCAAGACAGAGACATCTTGGGATGTTGACAACCAGGTTCTTGGGGTAAATACAGCTACTGTGTACGTACTCCAAATCCAGTGTGTAAGGATTTAGACACTAATGCTGTTTAAAAGAAACCCGCTTGGTTTAGGCAAATGGCTGACACAGCAATGCCTCGCGAGAGGCGTCAGAATCATGTTAAACTCAGAGATTCTTGGGGTTGAACTACCCACCCTGAACGGGTTGCAGGCTATAACTTTGAGGATAAATAGTCAGCAGAAGGCAACTATTGCATGCAAGCAAATGCTCTTAGCTTGTGGACCATGGACTCCAACTGTGTTTCAGAGGCTGTTTCCGGCGGCACCCATCCGTCTACGGTGGACTACAGATGCCGGTGACTGGATTATTTTCAGGAATCCTCGCCTGGCAACACTTGAGAGTACTGCCTTCGTCTCGTTTGAGCCACTCATTGGAGAAAAGTTTGAATTCGCTGGTCGGAACGACGGAACTATCTGGGCATGTGGCCGACGAAATTTCGAAGCGACACTGCCATCACCAGGTCAATCAAATGAACCAGATCAAGAGCTAATTCAAGAAATTAGTGAATTGGCACACAAGTGGCTCAACTTGAATTGCACCCATCCAGAGTGGCATTGTGATGACGTCCAGATACTCGGGAAAGGCAGGGCTTTTAGGCGGGCAACTGAATCTGGGCTTCCTGTAATGTCAGAGGTGACGTCTTCGGGCATCAGTCCAAAGGATGCGTCGGTTCCTACTGGAATATTTGTCTGCTGGGGTCATGGCTCGTGGGGTCTGACGCTGGGAATGGGCAGTGGCCGAGTCATGAGTCAGTTAATGCGTGAAGAGAAGCCTGATATTGATATATCTCGCTTTTCTTTGGAACAGGGCACAATTCCGGCAGAACTTCACTCCAAATCGCTGTAGCTTCTGTTATCTGCACGATATGTATCGAGTCAATATATTGGAAAGATCCTCTTTCCCTTCATGTAACTAATCAAGGTTTCTGGATGAGACATCGCTCTTAAGCTATTGCATTTGAACCAAGGTTTTATCAAATGCTTATGAAATGAAGAAGGACGCTCTTTCTTCTTCGCAATTTACAGGGTTCCTCAGAATGTAAGTCACCATCACTTTGCCAGAATTGTGTCCAACATTTCCACCATCCCTTTCTTGCCTGCCTCTTCTGCCATTTGTCGTGCCGTTTCCCCCTCTTTGTTAACAGATTTTCTATCTGCGCCCGCTTTTAAGAGGAGTCTCACAATCCTTTCGCGCCCCGGATTCGCTATCTCCCTGGTCTGTTGCATTACCGTACCGAAATTACGGCGCTTAAGGCCTCCTATATAGTGTGGCGTGGTTTCTCTTGCTGCGTAGTGCAGTGGAGTCATACCTCCATTAACCTTCGCGTCTTTATCAGCACCTGCCTTCAGCAGTACCCTGGCAACTGCACTATAGCCTTCCTTTGCCGCGTGGTGAAGTGGCGTCATGCCGTTGTCGTCAGGTATTTCCTTATTAGCCCTGGCGTATATTAGCAATCGAACAGTCTTTGTCTGTCCGGACATTGCTGCCTCATGCAAAGCAGTCCGTCCTTCCTTGTCCTGACAGTCTTTGTTAACACCCTTGGGCAAAGGATATTCCACTACCTTCCCATGACCGCCCGTGACAGCTTTATTCAGAGTTGAGGACCCTGAGTCAGTCAGTGTGTCTACATTGCCACCCAAGACAACTAGCCGCTTGACAATTTGAATCCAACCCAGGGTACAGGCGATCATCAAAGGTGTTTCCCCGCTCTTGTTTCTAGCCTCCAAGTTGGCGTCCCGATCCATCAAAGCTTCGATGGCTGTCTTTTTCCCTTCCCGCACTACTAGGTGGAGCGGAGTCTCACGATTCTCATCAACGCAATTGACATCTGCGTCGAAGGTACTGAGCAGTTTGCCCATGATTTTCACTTCACTGACAGCGGCAAGATGAAGTAATTGTTTCCCGGTATTATCCGTGGCCTCCCTGTTGGCTTTTAGCTTATTGATAAGAATTGAGAATGCGTCTTCGTTACCATGAAGTGCAGCCAGATGTAGAGGTGTTCGACCTTGGTGATCTCGAACTTCAGTGTCTATCCCCCTTTCAAAAACACCGACTATGCCACAAGGTCCACCCAGTACCGCGTGATGAAGTATTGTTCTCCCACCTTTATCTCGTAGGTTGAAGTTTGCATTCTTCCACAGATAAGACAAAACCTCGTTCTTTCCTTCAAGAGCGGCCCACATGGCTGGTGTCATTCTCGCGGAATCCATTGCGTCAAATTGTGCCCCAGATTCAACAAGGAGTTTGACAATCGATATGAAGCCTTCTCTAGCTGCATAATGAAGAGGCGTAGATCCAGTTCTGGCTCTGACATTGACGTCTGCGCCTTGTCTAGTAAGAATGGTTGCTGTGTCGATCTCACCGGCTTGACAGGCGACATGGAGTGCTGTCTGCCCAGCGAGGTCCCGTGTATCTGGATCTAAATCATTTTCCAGGAGACCGGCTAGTGGAAGCGTCCTTCCTCCAGCGGCTTCTCGATGCAATTGTGTCCAGCCAGTGATATCGCGTTTTTCAATACCCTCGTTATACTCTCGTGAAGACCTGCGTTGAGGTGATTTTCTTTCCTGAACAAAGGCGGGATCCCGATACGCAATCTCCATGAACCGAGAGGGAATGTTGTGAAGACGATTCTGGTCATCATACAAGAGCATCAGCCGGATCAAGAGACTTCTGCTTTCTGGCTCGCCGAGTTGTAGCTCATCTTCGACTTTTTGTTGAAGAGAGGTTTCCTTCGGCGGCTTAATCCTTCTTTCAAAAGGTTTCTGTGGTAGAGCAATCGGTTTCAGGCGGTCTGAGAGCTCAGTGGACAGGATCAATTGGCCGAGATGATCCACCATCACCGCGGTAGACTTTGAAAAAAACGAAGTGGAGCGTGGGAAAAGACGAGCTGTCTTCATCAACCACAAGTATACTTCCGTCACCTTCTTCATGTCGCCACGCTCTTCATGTGGTCTTGCATGTTCTCGAGCCAGCTCAATGATGCTATCAGTCATTGGAAGCTTGTTCTCGATACTAAAAGATGTAATGATCGCCGAATAGACTTCCCTGAGAGTGGCGAGCCCGGTGCTCTGAATTTCACCTGCCATTTGCGACAAGAGCGTGTTATGAAGAGTGAATGAAGTCCAAGAGTTAAGGCTTGCATGGTCACTTGGCCTAACCTCGCCTTGTCCGTTTATTGGCTTCTCCATTTCTCTTGCAACCGCACTCATAAACGAAGAGAAAATGTCTAGAGCAAACAGAGTAGCCGGGGGTCCAAAAGACTCTACTGCCAAAAATCCCCTCTCCACGGTCTGGCCATAGGGTGGATCACCGTCGTCGTCGCCAAGTTGTATTCTTTCCAGTTTCACAGCTTGCTACGTGGCTCTTCCGCAACCGACAACAAGAGACTTCTCCACCACCAAAGAACCTTCAGGACTCTCTCGAACAACAATTGCTTTCTTAACTTCCTGAGGAACCCATCACCGGAGGTCTCGTCGGAGTTGTGGTGTATCTAAGCCGAGTAGGTGTACGCCTGGTCTGTCTGTAGTGATATCGGTGTTCTGTGGGCTACTTTCGCCTCTGGGAGCGTTCTTCATCGAAAATATCCAGAGTGATAAGATTGCCTCGATGTCGTGGCGACTAACCTTCCAGTTCCCTTTGACCAGGCTCATGGGGACGGTGACGATTTGAGGGCCCGAGTTGCTACACATGGCTTCAAATTGCCAATTGAAATCCTCCAGTCCGCTTTTAAGCAACAGCGTATTCATGACCACTTCTATGGCCCTAGAAAGAGAGTTTGCCTCTTTGAAACCAGGACTTCGCCAACCGGTGACCTTTGCAAAGTGAGACCGTAGCTTCATGACTGTATGGGGTTTCAAAACGAGCGCCCTCATGTGACCTTCATTGTTCCTCGCTGCTACACTGCCACCATAGTGCTCATCTTCCATGTTGATGCCATGACTTGGTTGAACATTGTCACTATAATTGCTGGCAGCTCCATCTGCTCGACCACGGCTAGCTTCCTTTGCACCATCGTTTATGCCCTCTTCCGTAACACTAATGCCTTGGCTGTCGACTTCACCGTTGCTGTTATCCTCGCTGTCGTCCTCGCTGTCGTCTTCGATCTCTTCTGTATCCTTTTCCTTCATACTGCCGCTATTATCCTGGCTTCCACCTTGAGTTTCACCATGGCCTGAATGATCAGTACCTTCACCGTAGTTTCTGATGGCTTTCTGGGTCTCAAGCTTGATGCCTTAGTTACCTAAAACGACCCAGTCTATCCAAACTGGGCTATCGGTCTTAGGGATTTCCAAACGGCTACCGTTTATGCCAGTAATCGTAGAAGCCAGCCACTCCAATTCAAAATCTTGAGACAGAGATTGAGCTTTCGGGACAACGGTTAGCCCGCGACGGATAGCTGTGCGAGCAGCTGTCATGATCGCAACTGCTCCGAGCTGAACAACAGACACAGACCAGTGCATGTCTCGCAATCCAACAAATTGTATAACATATCCGGAAATGCTAAGGAATGCCCCAAGTGTTGTTTTAGAGAACTGTACTGAGCTCTCAGTGAAAAGAGGCGCCTTGTTGTCCGACGTTGTTTTGAACAACCTATGAATACGAAACGGCATGTAACAAGCGACTTCAGTAATTCTGTCGACAAACGAGACCGCTGTGGTTTTTGAGGGTACCGTAGAGAGATCACGGTGGCGTGACGTGACAACTCCTTTCCTAGGTGCGTCAGAGAAGATCCCAAAAGACTTGAAAACCTGATCCCCAACAGTCGCTTGCCGTTGAAGCCAGATTATATAGGCCTGATAACCAGTCCGTGGCTTTCTACCAATCTCGATAGTTCTTTTTTCGAGTACATCAGCACAAAGTAGCAATCCAGTTACCAAGATAATTGTGCCACTTGCCGTACAAGGGAATGCGTAATTTGATACAGGCACGTTTTCCTCTTTAGGAAATCTCAGGGTGTGATAGTATGTTGCGAATCCAGCATAGACTAGAACTCCAAGCTGAAGAAAGGTGCCTATGATGGCAGCAGCCCTTACCTTAGCCTGTTGTTGCGGATTGACATTGCGCGATATATTAGGTGCCGAGGTTGATTCGTTATAGACGATAATGACTTTTTCTGACCTGTTAAAATCCCCAAGCTCAATCTCTCGCGAGTCCATTATGCAAACATTTTTCAGCAGCCTTCAATCAACTAGGGTTGGCGCAGTGGTACTTACTTGGCTCAGAACTGCACGTGCTCATGCCCATTTCTGAGTCTTCGAATTCATTCCCTTGACTGTGAGTTAGCTCTCTTGCTGGATATGTTCACTGAGGCTTACAACTGGTCAATAAGTCATCTCTCCCAGCCTCTTTAATATTTTTACACTCAAAGTCGAAACTTCCAGTAGCACGGTTTTTGGGTATCAGAAGAATAAACTCCCGCACTGGGAGGTGACCCAAGGCTCCGGACAATTTCAGAGCCATTCCATAGCTCACAGACATCCACGGAAGTTGAACACATCAGCTCGATCTCGGCAGCAGCCAAGTTTTCTCTGGCTCTACCGATAATAGCTTTCAGCCAAGATAGCCCTCTAACTCTAATAGCACTAACAATAATCGTGAGGATTCCGAGGGGCGCCATCGCAAGAGTAAAACTCTCAGCCCAGCCTGAGGCCAGGCTCATCGTATACTGCATAGTGACTCTCTCTCCAAAAAGGGCGATAAGTCTCGAATGTTAGTTAGCGTAATAAATCTGCCCTAGAGTCTTGACTTACGGTGCCAAGTCTGTGAATAGGTTATTGGCAAAATCATCACCAAATTCTGCGGCGGAACATGCTGGAATGAAAGAAAGAATGGCAGCCAGGGACCAGAGTGGTGGAACGAGGTTGGAACTCATGTTTACAGCCAAGAGTTAATCTTTTTGGTTTGTAGGCTTTTTCTTCTGCAATCCAGGGTTGTAGTGTTGGGGGAAAAGTGGGTTTGTGAGAGAGAAAGAGAAAGTTGGTGCAGCGAAGTCACGACCAAAAAATTCAGGCTCTGGAGCTCGTGTTTGTAATTATTCGGTTCGTCCTATGGCCAATAATAAAACGTCCATAAACGCTGAGGCCTGTTTGTGTAACTACCACCTTGCCTAATATTATGTGAGGCCCTCCACCAACATGCATCACCAAGCCAACAGTAGCAACAAAAATCTAACAAATTTGTAAATGTGATGTCGAAACAAACCACCGAGCAGAAGAAGCTTATCTACAACTGAGCTATTTTGATATACTTTCTTCAACAACGTTTTTCAGGTCTTGGTTCATCCTCACATAGCCTTCTTGTAGCTCATTCAGCTTTCCCGCCGCCGCAGCTATTGGGGCCAAAATGCCAGAAAACCGCTCTCCTTGCGTAAATCGTGTGGATCCTCCATCCTCGACAGCTTCTAGTCGACACCAGTGCTCCGTGTCGAAGATGATTGGCGTCAAGATGCTGCCGTTCCATCGAAGTTCTTTTTCAGGCTGTAATACTGATACGATATTTGTGTATGTTTGAGTCTTTTCGATTGTGATGATCTGATTGCTTCCAACAGCGAGTTCAGTGTGTGAAGGTTGTACTTTAATGGAAGTGACGAAGGTGTTCCATTTTGACCAAGACTCCAAGTCCATGAGCACGCTCCATACTTGTGATGGAGGTGCTGCAATTGTGATTGATTCTTGAATTTCGCGCATTCTGGTTGTAATTGATTTGAGCGGCCGCCTTGTAAGATGGTGATTGTATTCTGAGTATGGAAGAAAAGAGTTGTTTGTGCTACTAGCATTATCAAGAGTTCACGGCTGGCTTTATATATATAGGAATTAATTTTTGGCTACTTGATACCGAAGAAGTCATGTCGTCGCTCACTCAGTGACGCGAGACGGCTCGGCGCGTATGGTAGACCGACACGGGCTCTTTCAGCTATGACGTCAATGAGTTCGGGGGGTCATTTGTCCGCTCACTCCCGAGAGCGCCGCATCTATTGCCCCGATGGAACAACAACACGGCCTTGGTTTAACAGTTCACTGGAAACAAGCATTCAACTAAAAACAGAATATGTATTTCGATATCGCAATGCATTACTTGCTATAGCAGGACGCTGACTCTTTATGTCAACGTTTGATTGTATTTACTGCTCCAGCGACCACGTGAAATTGTCATTAAAGACGACTACAGCGTTAGCCCTCTGCGACATGTCAACCTCAATACTCTGTGCATAGATCCCATCGATCATGGTTCCAGTCTGACCATCGCTTCCAAACCAAACCGTGACCTTGTTATTGAGCTTAATATTCTGACTAGCGCCTCTCGGGATCGGCGAGGTGCCAAAGTAAATTGGAGCCATCTCGTAGCCCATGCTTCTGTAGATGATGGGGGAGGCTCTGTCGGTCTGGTTATTGAAGCGAAACCCGCCTTGGGGTCCACCATCATTGACACTGCCTGTAAAGTCTGGGTTCAAGGTATAGGTCTGGCCGGGCCGGATGGGCTGGGTTTCAGTCGATGCCTGAACTTGGGCTGGAGAACTGATTAATAGCTAGACATTTTTTATTGTGGTTTCAATGGCCTGTATACCCCCTGGCATGAAGCTGGATTGACTGGCAGCAATAGCATAGTCATCGTTCCACTCAGTTGCGATATTGGGCGCCAGGTCTTGATTGCAATCGTTAGTGCGGGTTCAAGTAGAGGAGCGTGAACCCTTACTTGAGCTTGATGCAATGACGGTGGGTGGGCTGTTTTCTACTCCAAAAGCCAAGCAGAGCCTGCTGCCTTGCTGGCTGAGTTGCTGTAGGGCGCTTTGCCCTTCAACTCTGACTAACAGAGAATAGTTGGTCATTTTGACAAAGAGTTATAGGAGTGCTCTGCAGGGAACTGCAGTGAAGATTGTTGATTTGTTTTCTGTGATGTGAAGAAATGAATGGGGGGCAGCAAAAGCGTTTTTTATAGCTAAAAGCCAGTCCCCTAGATCGCTGATCAGCTTCCTCAACATCAACAGTCTGGATCTTCGATGGGCGCTCAGCTGGCTACGTTTATGCAGTCTATTATAGTCCATTACCGCTTCCTAAGAAACATACATAGGCGGGCGGCTTACTATGCGCAACTTACTGTTGCTATCGAACTTTACCAACCTATGGCTGCAGTCTTTCTGGGCATGTTGAGAGACATGGCGTATACTGTTCAATAGTCTGCTCAGCCATATATACTAGCCTTTGGCCCAGGCCAATCTTGGGCAGATAGTCCAGCCAGCCACGATATACCCCGCGCGCCAATTGAGGCTAGAGAGTTGCAGATGTCTCTGGTAATCCCTGGGTTGCTAAGGAGTACTTCTATTTACCCAAGCATTCTCATGACAGTTTATGTACTCCTTAACAGACACCAAAATGTAACCTCAACCAGTATTCTCCTGCACGTGGTGTCTATTGCCCTAAAGCAATATCAATCGCCCTCCTTTGTCATAGAAATAACAACATGAGGTTATGGCTTGTTCTTTGAACATCAAATTGTTGAAATTGTTGCTTTGTAATTCTCATGGAGCTCTCTCCGTTCTCGGCGTGCTTGGTTTTAAGGCGCGAGCAAACCCAGCCACAATGGATGCTTCACCTGCCACAGTGACTCGTTCCGCGAAAGCGGAATGAGATGTGGTCCATTTAGAGTGTTCTGATTCGCGGCTGTTTCTTCCTCTTTCGACGATTTACTCCACCATTGATGTTCCCCTATCTTAGTGCGAATCAGCAATCTCGGTGAGTGATATTAAGATCCCGCGGGATATTGTTGCTGTTCTTGACATCTCGCTCGAGAATGGTAATCTCGAAGGGTTGATAGCATCTGATATCAATATGAGAACGACAAGTTCCTGGGTGTTGAGCTCCCGATAATTGTGAATTGTAAGGAGAAACTCCTTTAAACCATTCTGGAGTTTATCTCCCATTCAGAACTTACACTACCGGGTAGGCAAGTCAAGTAGTTAGGTTAAACAACAGTTCATCATGCTCGATATTTTATCTCAACTCAGAACAGGCTTAGCAACGCTCGATATTCAGACCAATAATTGTAAAATGCTACTGGCTGTCTGATCATAAAATATAAAGACACTATGCTTATATATCATCTACCAATGTCATAATCCGGTTTACCCGATCTATCCGCCGTCAGCTGAATACCCTTCCCTTCTTACATCGGCCAACCAGAATACGCATCCTCGCGCGAACTAAGTAGTTTACAGCGGAATCATGAATTTTTGACAGCCGCTATTTAAGCCGCATAGCAACCATTCGGCCATGCCTCCGAGGTTCGGCAAGCAATAGCGCTGCCCGACCTTGGAGTCACTAAGCAAAATTTCCAAGCCCTGTCAACAGCGCCCTTCACATGATTTCACAAACATCGCCCTTGTGATTCTCCCTCCATTCAAGCATGAGATGTTTCGTGTTCTGCGGTAATCAAAGGCAAACATGTCGACCGATGAATGGCTAGATCGGGTTATGCTTATAGAACAAGCTGTCGCCAAGTGCCGCGGAGATGTTGCGCATGCTCAATCGGCGCAGAATGAGGAGGAGCTGCGGGCAGTTATCACCACCATGTGTCACGATATCATCGGGATAATCGGAAGACCCCAGGTCGAGAGATCGCTACAAGCATGGTCTGAAGTATATCCAGAACAAGAGGGCTCCAAGCTGATAGAGAAGACGAGCATCTACCGCCATTTGGTCAGTGCTCAGGCCCCACATACAGAGTCTCTCATGCTAATGAGCTTTATAGCAACAAAAGAATACGCCTTGGATTCCTGCATCTGAGCAGGATGAAATAAGAACTGAAAGTCAAGCTGTATCGTTGAGGCCGACACCTGGGACTTCATCTTCGCCCCCGTCAGTACAAGAAATGGACGTCCAAAACAGGGCGGAGAGACTTCGGGATGCCCTCTGCCTTCCACCTATTCGTCGGGCCTCTGCAGACAATATCAACCTATCACATCCAAGATATATATCTCACTTACCGCCAAGCCATCAAAGAACACCACAAGATGGTTACTATTCTCCGTTTACAACCTCTCCGACGACCCGAAGCAACCGGTCAGAGTCTCCAAGGGTTCTTCCCCCAATCATATCATTCGGCGACGACATAGCTGAGTCGCCTGTCTTTCATACTCCCCAGAGTAGTCGACGGGCAAGCCAGGTCTCATACCCAGCCTCAGATAAAAGTATCGATCCATTCCAGCCGATCCACTATGATCCAAATCCTCACGAAAAGGCAGCGCCGAGTTTAAAGTCGCACCCCACTAACAACATGACAACTCATGGCGACGTGGATCAGAATAACGGTACGTGTCGGATACCGAGTGACAAAAAGGCTGGAACTACATTCCATGAGATCCCAACGTCTTTAGCAGAGTATCTTGAGAGGATCCTTGCTGCAGGGGACATGCCGTTTACTCTGGCTGGTTTCAGAGACAGAGATAACTATTACAACTGCCCATTCTGTAGTGAGAATGGGAAGAGGAATTATAAAAGGTCAGGACCTTTTGCGGACCATTTAGTAAGGCACTGGAAATCACTACAGACACAATAGGAGGACGGACATAGTCTAGTTGTGGAAGAAGAAAAGATCGACTCCACTCATAATATTGGCTATTTACATAAATATATACTCGTTACTATTCTCCAATCCGAAGAAGAGAAATTTTACTCGCATGCGCAAGTCTAAATCTTAGGACGATTAAGCAAGATCTTGCCATCCTTGTCATACCAGATCTTCCTCGCCTTAACCTGTCGAAGGTAATCCTTTCCAGAAGTATGCGCATCAGCAAAGAAAAGCCACCATTGTCCCTTGTACTCAACAATACTTCCGTGAGTAGTCCACCCATCAACAGGGTCAAGAATCTTGCCCTGGTAGGTATAGGGACCGTAGATGTTCTTGGAAGTAGCGTAGACAAGGAAGTGGGTGTCGCCGGTCGAGTACATGAGGTAGTATAGCTTGCCACGCTTGTGAACCCAGGGTCCCTCGAAGAATCTACGCTTGTTATCCTCAGCTTGAAGAGGCTTGCCTGTCTCGGGGGCGAGAATGACGAGATCGCGGGGTGTTTCGGTGATTTTGTGCATGTCCTTGCTGAGTTTGGCGATCTGGGGAGACAGGGCGTTGGTGCCGTTGGGAGCAGCCTTGTCTCCGATCCACGACTCGTTGAAGTTCTTCTTATCCTGCCAGGCCTGGAGCTGGCCGCCCCAGATACCGCCCCAGATGAGATAGGCCTCGTTGTCAGTGTCGACATAGCTAGCAGGATCGATACTGTATGTGCCGGGGATCCAGCTCTTGTCGGCCTTGAAAGGGCCGCTGGGCTTGTTGGAGACAGCAACTCCAATTCTGAAGATCTCATCCTTGTCCTTGGCAGGGAAGTAGAGATAATATTTGCCGTTCTTGTAAGCTGCATCAGGTGCCCACATTTGCTGCTTAGCCCAGGGAACGTCATCGACTGAGAGAGCGACGCCGTGGTCAATCACGGGGTCTTTTCCGTAGATACTCTTCATGGAGTAGGTATGATAGTCCCTCATGGCGTATTGAGCGCCTCCTGTGCCGTTGACGACGTTGGCTTCGATGTCGTGAGATGGGTAAACCCAAAGCTTGCCCTCGAAAACATGAGCCGAGGGATCCGCGGACCAGAGATCGGTGATCAAAGGTGGAATATCATTAGTGTCCTGGGCAGCGCATTTGCTGGTCAGAGACAGCAACAATGCTGAAGACAGAAACTTGAGCTGCATCGTGGCGAACAGTAGAACTAACGCTTAATTGACAAGATTGAACAAGAGCCTGATGAGCCAAACTGTCTCGGATCGTGGCCTTGTCTTTTATACCCAGTTTTCTCGCTACTATACCAACTGCCGTGATGATGACCTCAACTAAGTTTGTCCCCTTGATAAATCAGGCTATTCCCCCTGGCAATACGGGGTTTGCGGGGTATCCTCTTGGCACAGGATTGGCCCGCCGGATAAAACAATTTTAATAGAGTTTACTGGATGTTTTCTATATAAACTCTTTGTCATGCTGCACCGCGCCCTCAACTAAGCAGCTGGGGGCGACAAAACACACCGCCAAGCGTAAGCAGATACGACGTCCATCACGGCAAGGTTTGTGCCTAAATGGAAATTCTATTACCCAGAATTATCCGTGTAGTATTGCGTTGATGCTAGTGAGAAAATAGTCTATTTGAGTTTATACTTGCCAGGGGATCGTCAGGAATATAGACAGATTGGGAATCCAGTGCATGCCTGGTCGTGTCATGGACTGGTGCGCTTAGCATTAGCCCCGCAGATTACCAGATTACCGGTCCATTCAGCTTACAAGCACGACGTAGCCAAGGTGCTCAATGCTACCTTATTGGATCTTGCCTTCCATGTTTGCGTAATGCATCTAGAACCTGAGATACATTAGACCCGGGAGAACAAAAAGTCAAGATCATGCCGTTCCACGGTAAAGGGCCGTTTATGAAGGTGATGCCCTGGAGATGCACCGAATGATCCGGCCGTACTATCCGGTCGTTGATTAATGCCATGTGAAACATTCATCGAGTCTTAGCGTCAACGATCTAGATGTAGTGGGCCTGGGGCAAATGATCCGAATTTAGGTAGGTATCGTAATTCACCCCGGCAAAGAGGATTAATAGCTAAGGCACAGCATGCGGCGATTACTTCTCTTTCGGCAAAATTACAGTTATTGTAGTTACACAAGAATGAATTGGGGGCCAACGTGGATAACGGCAATATTCATGACACCCACGCACGTTATTAGACATGTTTTTAGGCAGCCGGATAGCGTCACGCTAGGATCTTGTTTGTAGTGAGAGCAATACAACTTAAATACTCTAACTCTACGAAGCTATGGCACACTGATCCATTATCTAACCTCCAAACATTTCAACTAACGAATTATCTTGCACAGGCATATGCTCATCAATTTTCTCCGGTCCATCCAGCCTTGACATCATACTGAACGCATCCAAATTGTGTAGTTCCTCCGAGATGAGGTCCATCCTCGTTACCTTCACCGAAACCTCAGGTTAGCGTCGTCATTAATGTCAAACAAATAGAAGTGTGACTTACAAAAGTGATAGGATGAACCAAACATCTCTTTGCAGTTGGGCGATCCCATCTCCGTCGGGTCGGTGAGTTCCTGACTCTTTCGATCCGTGACACATCCAGCCACCCAAGAGACAGTATAAGCGTACTGCTCACCCGTCGTAGAGTCCTTGTACAGTTCAGAGATGTCATCCGAGTCGGAGTCAAGCTCAACCCCTTCCAAGGACTTGCAGAACTTCTCAGTGACTTTGACAAAGACATCAGACGTGGTATCCTCGTGAGAGAAGCTATTGGCATCGTAGCAATCCGTCCTGCCGGTGTCTGCGAATGGTGTAGTGGACTGCGTAGGGTCCGCGTTGGCTGTCGTGCTTGTCGTCGCAGGGGCAGAGGACTGGGAGGTTGGTGTCTCGGTGGGTAAATCAGATGGTAGTAGTTGCGTGAAGTCCGGAAGACTTGGCTTAGTAGGATTCAAAACATCGATGATGGAACCGATCAACGTAGGAAGGCTAGGAAGTGATGCTGTAGCACTGATTTCGCACGCTGCCCGAGCTCGAAGTTTCTTGCCTTCTGAAGGGTCGCACCACTGTGAGTCTTGCGCGCCTTGATCCAGTAACGGAGTCCATTCAACCTCTTTCATAGGCTCTAGCTGCCTCTCGAAGAATATCCTCCACCTTGCCTTTGTATCGCAATCCGAAGTATCGCCTGGCTGATACTGCACCATAGCTCTGCCCCTAGGGTTGATACCCTCGATGTCTTCAGGGTCGCTTTCCAAGTCAGCCGCGTACATGACTGTCTCGATCGGTATGTCTGGGAATATGTCTGCTATCTCGGACCGGAGTTGATCATTGAACGTGGGTCCATCTTCATCAGCTCTCGGGCTTGGAGCTCCATCTCTGTCCCACATGGGCGGAAGTCCGACAGGATTCTCTTCATTGTACTGGTCGTCGCTCTCTTCCTCGATAATCTTGTATGGAAGGAAGAAGAAAATATGCGGGTCACTGTCGTCGTCGAAAATGCGTCCTGCTTTTCTCAACTCATCAAGACCGAATTCGTGGTCCTCGGCAGTTGCGCGTGTCGGAACCTCATCGTATGGCGTGTGAAGTCGGTCAAGGGCATGGTATCTGAAGAAGTCAAGCTGTTTCTGAGCCGGAAATTGTTCCACAGGTTGGCCGAGCTGCTCAATATCGTCTGGCATTAGCTGAGGGATATACCAGCTTCCATCGGCCGTGTCGAAATCAGCCATTGGCTTAAAGACCGGCTCCTCCCAGATGTGATTGGCCCACGCGCCTTTGTTAGAAACCACTATGATAGAAGTACATCCCACAAGATGAGGTACCGAGAGAGAAATAGGTTCATCGCTGAAGAGGATTCTCTTGGACGATGTCGAACCACCTTCGGGTAATGGCACGACATGTAAGCTTTTGGCGTCATCGGCATTGGACTTGGCGAGACTCCCTTCTGCAGCAATGAAAGTCTCGGGATCCGCATAGTTCTCGGGCCCTATGTTTGAAGTCAGTCTCCACCGTGTAGTGTATTGTCGTCAGTATGGGACACTTACCAGGCCATTTACATTTTGGCGGTTCTGTGGCTCGCTTGATGGTTCCTCGTTTCGCAAGGCCACATTTCCCTCCACTACACTTTCCTGGTCTACAAGCCCAAGTCGATTGAGCAGCTTGGACCGTTGTAGTGCGCGTAGTCGCCGAGGACGTGGTTCCACTACAAGAAACAACTGTTGTGAAGGCTTGAGTGGTGCATGCGGGCTTCCCTGTCGTGACGGCGGCTGTGACTGTACACAAAACGCTTTCCCACGTCATACTTATGCTTGTAGCGCAGGACGAGGTCGATTCGGTTCCTTTCGTGGACTTGGGCGGCTCCTTGGTTGGATTCGAATCATTTGGCTTGTCTCCACCCTTGCCATCGCCAGGCTTGGGTGGACGAATTGGGATCGGTATGGGAACAATGGTGGGGCCGTCGTTGTCGTGATCATCATCATCATCGTTATCATCAGTGTTGTCCTCATCTTTCTCTCCATTATCATCGTTGCCATTAGTTGCTGAAGGGGCTGTTGGGGTGGTCTCTGCTGGTGAAATTGTTGTCACTGGAAGCGGCGATGGCTTCTCTGTGTCAACAGTGGACATATGAATAGAATTCGGGATCTGGGTTTCGGACGTCACTGTATTGCTGAGAAAAGGGACTGCGGTGTCCGAAAGAGGAACCTTAGTAGCCCCGGGGTTGCTTGTCTCCGGAGAAGAAAGGATCATTGTGTCTTCTCCGGGCACCGAATGACTATCTGTATCAAAAGGTGAGGTTTCTGAGCTTCCGCCAATGGAAGCTACTGGGCTAGTGTGCCTGTCTGACTCTGGAGACTGTGTAACGTCGGGCGAATTGGGCGTGGTGATGGTACCAGTGAATCCATCACCAGGGCTGGAATGATGTGTGCCAAAAGAAATACCAGAAGTTGGTTCAGAAGGGATCGGAGTGGCTAGCGAGGGTATAGTTCCGTCGGCAGGTGGCGAACCAGTCGTATCTTCACCACCCACCGACGTTTTTCCAGATTCGGGTCGCTCTGATGCTGAAACTGACAGATGAAACGATGTATGAGTGAGCAATGGATCTTCTTTCTCTGTATTTGACGTGATAGTGATTTCTCCAGTAGAAGCAACATCTGTCAGGGGAATGGATATGCTGACTGGAAGGTGTGTAGATAGAGAAGCTGAAAGCAAGCCCGTTGAATCAACAAATCCTAACGGAAAGCTTTGACTGGGAGCAAGAGTACCTGGGATAGACTCAATGAAAGACTTTGAAGGGATGTCCGTAGTGAATGACCCGGTTGACTCTCCCGATACCGGAGCTTGGGGAATATTGCTTGATCCTGGAGGGAATGCCGAGAGGCCATCTGTGGTCGAAGGAGCAGGGAGTCTTTCTGAAGTGGAAGTGACTATAACCTCGCGAGAGGTTTGTAAGCCAACATCCGATGAAGCTGTTGATGCACCAACGATAGGATGCCCGGTTTGGTCCATCCCAGTCTCCGTAGACTGACGAGAGCGTCCCTGGTCTGATGAGGGGACAGACTCGACTCTGGTTGTGGTTGTCTTGGAGATGGCTGTGGCATCAGAACTCAACTTGGTATCCTCAGGTAATGAAACTAAGACAGTAGATTCCTGAATTTGAGAATGAGGACCTTCTGAGCGAAGACCAGATTCGGCAGAGGAATCATCGGAAGGAATAGTTGGCAATGAAGTTTCAGCTGAAGGAAGAGATGATGCAGGAGACTCAATGATAGGGACCAGAGAGTCACCAGTTGTTCTTTGCTGTGACGGAATCTGTGCCAACTCTGTAGAGGTTGGTACAGCAGTAACATCTGCTCCATCAGAAGTTGGGAACAGATCCTGACTGGCGGTGTTGGAAGTTGCTATAATGGATGGCATGTTACCCCCGTAGTTGGGAGCATCTCCGAGAGATAAACCACTGCCGAGAGGTGAAGTAGTCGGTCCAACGTAAGGCGGAGCCAAGAGCGAGGTACTGATGATAACTTCATCACTCTCGGAGAATGTCTCATGCACACCTGCCGAGGAGCCAGAACCATCTGCACCTACAGATGTCAGATTTGGAGATTTTGGGTAGTTTGGATGGCACTTAGATGCAACTATGGTTGTCACAAGAGTGGCAGCAAAGGTTGCACGTAGAAACCCGTGTAAGGTCATGTTGGAAGAAGGAATCCAGTCTGAGCAAGAAAAGAGCGTTTTAAACCCCCTTGAGGGTACTGATGGTAGTTAAAGACGAGTGAAATGCTTGTGAATGAGTAAAAGATATCTGAGTATATTGAGATCTGGTTCAGCCTTTATAGTGGCTGTTCTTTCAACCTCCTTCTACATATGCGAGGTCTCAATGCCTCTAGACATTCAAGCACGAAAATATACCCTCAGTCCTGTATCCCTGTATCATTCGATGATATTACTCAATATTGGTTGGAATCTTCATTACCCTTCGTTAATTAAAAGTTGATGTGAAACGGCTGACTTCTGCCTGCCGGGGGCTGGAAGAGAGCACTGCCAGGCTTGTTGGTTGTGTTAGTTGTTTGTGGATACAAGATCACAAGTTTCGCCGTGGAGAAAGCTGACCAACAAAACGCAAGGGTAAAATCTCAATGCTTTCGTGTTGGTTGTGTTGGTTATTTGTGAATGGACCCCAAACCGTGCACTTACATGTAACCCTTTCATGACTCACTGAAGTACTATGTACAGTATTGGCACAAGTCTATGATCGAGACACGAGAGGTTGAATTATTGGTTAAAATGTTATCTAAGCCATCTCATCCAAAGAGCGATGATGATCCTATAATAAGACGGTGCACAGTGAAAATAGGATGCATGGATTATTAAGCTTATAGTGAAGATGAGATAGTCGTGTAGTTGTCGAGTTTACATGGGCTATCCTAACATGGTCTGAGAAAAGCAAAATCTTGCCAATGGCACTGACGTAGAGTCAGTGAGGCATTAAGAAATAGACGAAGGCATATTGCGAGTCCTAGCAGGATCCGATGATGCTGATTTTCGGTCCACAGAGAGCCTGATGCCAAGATTCACGGACTGTTTCATTTTTAAAGAAAGATATCGGCAGTAAGGGACGTGGCGCAACGCGGATAAGAAATACGAGCGGGCATTTCCGGATGTGGCTGATGAAACACGAAGGATCAGCACGGCCCGCTGAAAAAAGCAACTGTTGAATTGCGCGTGTCGAAAAAGCCACAAGCCCCGCAGTGTTTTGAAACCCCAATACCACCAACATAACTTTGGCAGTGAGTCAGGCAAAGCATGGATGGGAAATAGTGGTCGGCACGAGACTAATGGCTAAATATAGAGTGTATCCCCACACGATGATCTGATGATCGGCACTGTTAGCTCAGGCTCATAATGTGCTCATTCGAGGAATGGACCTTCATTCTAGGCATCCGCACTTACTCATTACTTCATTATCCAAGGGAGAAAGTCAAGGTTCTTTGGATGATTGATGGGGTTTCCCATCACGTGCCAATGCTGAAGTCTGAATCTGTATCATCATCTGATCATCTGAGAATCTCACCTTGACAAACTCGACTTGCCATCAGGATGCCTTACACCAGCCGACATATGCGACGCCCAGGCGCCAGACCTGGCTTATTCAGATACTCTGCCGTCACTATAAAACAGTACCAGCCAAAACAATTCGTGCGCAGCGAGGAGGATGAAGCTCTTCTCAAAGATCTCCGCACACGCGGCTCCAAGAACTGGACACAGGTTGATGCTCAAGCATTTGAAGACGTCATGGATAGAGATAACGCCAGATTGGAAGCTGCTCATGAACCATTGAAACGTGAGATAGAGGGTTACTTTGAACATCTCCACTTACCCGCTCTTCCAGCTCCCTTGCCCCCTTCAAGCCTTTGGGTTGCGACGAGCAGGGCTGAGAACTGCCCCAACAAGACTATACAGCCATTTATGGTAGCTTGTGACAAGGGCAATCTTGACCTAGTCAAGCATTGGATTCAGGACGGAGATTTGAAGAGCGCGCTCCAGCAGATCGGCATTCAAGATGGTCTTGCATTTGCAGCGCAGGCAAATCAAGTCAAAGTCGCGAGTTATCTTCTACAAGAAGGAGGCGCGCATCTGCACGGCGCTGTAGTTGAGGCAGCCTGCGACAATCTCTCTCTCCCATTGTTCGAGCTCTGTGTTCAGCATGGATATCATCCGAACCAGCAGATTCCCGGTCGCTCTGGCGGCTTTGGTGTCGCAATAAACCATTGCATCACTAACATTGAGATCACTAGATTTCTACTCGAGCATGGAGCAGACCCAAATGTTGCGCCGTTCATGGACGGCAGAACGTCAGGTTGGGGCGAAAAGGCCACGCCTCCAATGGACCGTACTTCTGGACTAGCGCTCGACCGCGCAATTGCAAGGAGTTCCTCGATCGTGGTTCAAATGCTTCTCGAACACGGCGCCGATCCAAAGTACTCACGGCCAATACACGGCATCGTTGAACGACTCCATAGCCACCCGATTCCAGGCGTGCAACAAGAGTGGCGACCTCTGATGGCGATGGTGCTGAGCTACGGCGCCGACATCAATGCTGTGACATACAGTGGCGGCACGGCGCTACAGAGAGCTGTGCATAAGAAAAATTGGGACATTGTTGAGTTTTTGATCAAGAAGGGCGCGGATCCGTTTGTCGAAAGCCCTGTTTCAGGACGTGATGCCTTTGATTCGACCCTGAAATTTGAGGATCAGCCTTGGCAGAGAAGTGAGGAGGTGAAGGAATATCTCAAAAGATTGATGAGTGGATCAAAACTGGAGATCGGAGGAGAAGCCCCAGAAGAGGCGAGCGAGAATCCTCTCGTACAAATCATTCAGAAGGTGAAGAGACGGGAAGCGGGCCTGGCAGAGTAGCAGAAGCCATGTTCTTGCTACATTTTATTGTCGAATTTCGATTCGGACCTTGTAACTTCATTCAACTGAGCCTCATCAACGTCTGTACAAAATACTCGGGTGAAGAAAAAGCCAATGAAACCGCGACTGTTTGCCAACTTCCTCAAATAGCAATTTCAGCCTTAGCAGACCCGCAGCTTCGGACGATCTACGTTTGTTTGATCTTAGTGTAACGCATTTTAATGGATCTAGACCTTCGGGCCGCCTCCAACTCGAAATTAGCTGGCCAGCAGTACTTAGCTCTACCAGCTTTGCACTAAGAAACAGTACATATTCACTGGCAGTCTATAACGCATTAAAGTACTCATCTGTACCTGCGGGGCATCCATCGGTGGCTTCGATAAGGATAAAGCTCAATCTCTTCCCCTGTAAGACCTAACTACATAATAAATAGTCCTCGCCACCTAATTTCTAAATTTCTCCTCATCCTCACTATCCTTTCGCAATCGTCAAAATGGCCGACGATTCATCCAAATCATCGACAGACCCCTCCGCTGCCGTCGGCCCCTCGAAAGAAGCGAACAAACTCCTCCCCGAAGAAACAGAACTCGACCAAGATGGCTTTCACAACGATCACCAGGACCACCTGGACATGCAGCGCCTCGGCAAGAAGCAGCAGTTCAAACGAACGTTTTCACTGTGGTCGTCAATTGGCTTTGTGGCTATTTATATGGCGACGTGGGAATTTGTGCTGATCTCGCTTGCGCCCGGTTTCACGAACGGTGGATATGCTGGCGTTTTCTGGTGTTTTGTTACAACCACGATAGCGTATTCTGCTGTTGTCGCGAGTTTGGCGGAGATGGCTTCTATGGCGCCTACTTCGGGCGGGCAGTATCATTGGGTTAGCGAGTTTTCACCACCAAAGTATCAAAAGGTTCTGTCTTATGCTTCGGGATGGATGACAACGCTGGGATGGCTGGCTAGTTTTGCCAGTAGTTGCTATACTATCGCTTTTCAAGTCCAGGCGTGCATTAACGTTACGAAACCTGATTTTGCGTTTACGACGTGGCAGATTGCGCTGATCATGTGGGCTGTTATCATTGTCACCATCGCCTTCAATACTTGGGGCACTGCTTTCTTTCCGCAGCTCGAGACAGCGAGTCTGATTGGTCATCTTTTGGGATTTTTCGCCGTCATGATTCCTCTTTGGGTTCTTTGCGACAAGAATGATGCGCACGACGTGTTTCTGCAGTTTACGGACCAGAGTGGGTGGGATAATATGGGCTTTGCGTACATCTCGTCTCAGATCTACGTTCTCTGGTGCTGTTTTGGTTCAGACAGTATCGTGCATCTGTCCGAAGAAGTCAAGAATGCGTCTATCGTTGTTCCACGAGCTATTTGGTGGTCATATGTCGGCAACGTCTTTTTCGGGTTCATCATGCTGATTACGATGCTCTTCTGCATTGGCCCCCTTGACGCTATCATCGAGGCAGACTGGCCCTTCATCGCCCTCTTCGATCGCACAGGCTCTCAAGGGTTGAACTTGTTCTTCAATGTCATCTTGTGGCTTTTGGTCTACCTTGGCAACATTACGACTCTCGCGACTTGTGCCCGTGAGACATGGGCGTTTGCGAGAGATCGGGGTCTTCCAGGTTCTCAGTGGATTGGTCATATGTAAGTTTCCACTTCCACGTCGCACATCTTCTGCTAACAGTTTGCAGGGACAAGAAATGGCACATACCCTTCAACGCTGTTTATCTCATGTCCATTGGCGCTGCTCTCCTCAGCCTCATCCAAATCGGCTCCGACGTCGCCTTCACTGTTTTGGTATCGCTCTCAACACTCGGCATCATGAGCACTTACCTCCTCAGCATTGGCTGCGTACTCCTAAAGCGCATCAGAGGTGAACAGCTGCCTTCTGCTCGATGGAGCCTGGGTCGCTTCGGACTGGCGATCAACGCATTTTCTGTGCTTTACAGCTTGTTCATTGTCATTCTCTGCTGCTTCCCATTAACTCTGCCTGTTGATACTGCTTCAGCGAACTGGGCGCCTTTGATATGGGCTGGTGTTATCATCATCGCTGCTATTGCATATCTTACGCATGGCAGGAAGGCGTACACTCCTCCGGTGAATTTTGTAGAGGGTTTCAAATTGCAGGGAGTTGGTCTACAACAGTCGTCGTAGGGAAAGTGAAAGAGGGGAAACTGTGCCGAAGCTTAGTATTAAACGACCAAATTCTTCGATTTGACATTCCGACCCTTTCATCACAAAGTTCGGCAACTCCACATTTTCTACATTTCTCCAGTATTGAGCCTCCTCTTGTGGTTTCCTCTCGGTTGCACTCTTTTTGCCCAGCATATCCTTGAGTCTCAACCATAGCTTTCACCTTGTCAGACATATGGCATGGATGGTGATATCCAAAGATCTGAAACCTCACAGCTACATATACTAAGTGTATTCCATTGCAAGCTTCCAAGACATCTTGCTGAGCTTAGTGAGCCATTAGCCGGAAGTGATTTTGATCTGACACAAAAAGGATGAAAAGAAAAGCATGGCGGAAGCTGTGGAGACAGAAATTCTATGCCCGTGTTGGCGGCTAAAGCCTAGGATTGATAACACAAAGTCTAGCTTGTAGAACCTGGTGCGACCTCTTAACGAAAACAATAAATAAATTTACATTAAAGTAACTTACCATAACTAAAAGTAAGCCAGTAAGATAATACGTTACACTATGGGTTGACTGCGGCCTCTAAGGTTTAGCCTTAGGCACTACTCGCCTAACCATTTATGCGACGCTTTTCAACCGCATGTCACCCGTTGCACGACATTATCGTGTCTCAACACAGCCATAGTCTGTAGACTATCATCCCAAGGACAATAGGGTGTAAATCCACGTTGTATTTCGAACATGCTTCTGGTGATGTTGAGGAAATGACATAAAGCTTGGCGTGGCAACTTTCTCTCCCCCCTCTTCTAATGGCCGCTATAAGAATACGTGGCCTGATGACGCAGATTGCCCTTACGGTAATTGCCATCACACCAAAGGGAGCTATAGCTTTAGTGAAGTAGTGTAGTGCAACACATGCAGATGATATAAGCATAAATACAATAAGAAATAGCAAAAGAAAAGTAAGTAGTAATAAAATATATAAGGAATTAGAGCCTGACCTACTGGATTTTACTTGTTTAGATTATTGGGATAAATTAGTTAATTTGTTACAATCTTAACATTAACTATAGCTTAAGGAGACTTTGTTTTATCTTATGATAGCTTGAGCGTCCTTAGCAGTTATGCTAGGCTCTTAGGTACATCTCTAGCAACAGCCATACAGCAGCGTATAAAATGCTCCAGTAATGGCAATAACATTTTTCACTATGCTGCTGTAGATTCAGAATGCGCGGGGCTAGCCGTTTCCATTTGTGTAAATTATCTATATCAATGCCTCAGCTAGTTTACTCTTGATCTTTCAGTCCCCTCCATTGAAACTCAACCATAGCCTTTATTTTACTTTATTTCAACTAATGTTGCAACCCAGACATCCATTGTCCGCACTTTTTCACCGCCAAGTCCTTCAACAGCTCCTACAACCGCTTCTCTACCACTCCTTAGCACAGTCCTAATTTTGCTATCCTCAACATGCTGCTCAATGTCGCCAAGAAAACTCTTGCTTTTCACATCACCAACTTCCCAACCCCCATCTTGCAGTCCCGCATGCGGTACAATTTCGGTCTCTCGTTCAACCTTCCAGCCAGCATCTGCGGCAATACTCTTGATATCAGGTGGGCTCAGCAGACATCGAATGTTTGCTTCGCTCTCTGGTCTTTGTGCCTCAAATGTAGCGCGTGTCAAGGCAGCGAGCAAGTGAGGAACAGCAGCTGGCTCAGATGCCTTCATGGCGTACTCGGTAATGCAGACTCTACTCACACGTCCCTTCAACGCTTTGAGCATGCGGGCAAGGGTTTCTGGCGCATCGAGATACCATAAACAGTGCACAAAGACTGCAAAGTCCCACTTCTTGTCCCCTGTATCTTTTAGAAAGTCATCGAGTTGGGCCTGCCAGAATTTCACACGCCCGCCCAAAGCGCCTTTGGCGATATGTTGTTGTGCTTGACCCAGGGTGTACGGTGCACCGTAATCAAGAGGTGCGGGGTCGATGGCGTCAACACGGCCATCATCCCCGACGGCATGTCCCAAGACAACAGTGCATGTTCCCTGACCACATCCAATCTCAAGAATATGTGATGAAGCAGGAATATGAAAGAAGTTGAGGAGCTCAAGCCGGTGAGTTGTTTGATCAATCTCAATTTGTAGGGACTCTGGTGTTGACAGGGAGTAAGACGCTATTGATGGAGCGATTGACAAGGCCATTGTCTGCCATGTCTCTTGAGACTGTGTCTGAGCTGTCATGTCGATACCAAATTTACCAGAAAACTATTTCGAAAAAGTATTTTTGGTGTATGTAGGTGTTTGAGGGATCCAGTGTCTGCGATATCAGGCGGTCCAAGCTGACACTATTTATAAGCGACCGACAATCTTAACTGTGACTCATTCACTATCATAGATCTCAACCTCCTTCCTATACGGGCAATCACCATTTTCTGCTTACAACATGACTGTCAAGGTCACAAAACGTCCATAGGGGAAGAATACTCGAGCAACAGCGATGATATTTCCAGTGACGTACAAGCTACCTGCGCTCACAATACAAGGTTGGATCTTGCTGCTTATGCCATGTCCTTACATGCCTCTCAGCGTTGGCTTTTCGTGCCGCGCCGTCGCGCGCCATTTTATACGTGCATCCCGGGAAGCTACAATACCATTTGACAGAGCCATGCTTTTCGTTTTTGTGACGGGTGCGATCCTTCCTCATCGCAAAGCTTGCGTTGCACCCAATCTCGGTGCATTTGAATGGTCTTGTGTGAGTATTGAGATGCGCGCTGTTTGCATCTGTTAGTCTCGATACTCCCAAAAGAAATAGGCGTGGAACTGACGTATACGGCTTTTTGGTAGAGAAAGTAGCTGGGCACTCAGGACATTGATGTGAGCCTCTAGTAGGTACGCCACCCTGACTGTTGTCATTTTCTTGAGAGCTGTGATTCTCAATAACATGTTCTAGCCGTGTATCATCTTCGACTTGTGCGCTCTGTCCAGCAGGCTGAGGAGTGGTACTTGAACACCCCCAATCATAGGGAGGCAGAGGACCCGCGTTTCCGGACTGAGTCCAGCTCGGATCAATGAACTGGAGAGTTTGATGTTCGCGATAATATTCGTGTTGGTGAACTGAACTCTCTAGTTCCGGTGGCCCTGACTGGTCTTGACTAGAAATAAAAGACCCCTACCTGGTACGGGAACTTGGTGGCGTTCGAGCCTGCCGAGGAGAGACAGTAGAGGAAGAAAGAATACGACGGCTAAAGAGTTTCAAGGAGCGTAGACAGTTGGCGATAGAAGTGGATGCAACGAATGACTGCGGAAGCACCACCAGGGTCAACCGTGAAGAAGAAAAGAGAAATGCACGACCATCGCACATCGAGATAAGTTTATGTAGACGATTTCAGTCTAGACGAGTGCCTCCAATCGGATATGGCGGATTAATTTGGTTTGGCCGATTGGCCAAACTCTCCGGCTAGGCCTCAGAATCTGCACGATGATGGTGGTTGCATCCGACTGGTCGAGCCAATCATAATGATGGTATTGAGACGGCAGTTGATTGAATTTCACAAGTTGTCAGCTTGAAAAACAGAAGATAAGTATCTGGCACTTTCAACCATTATCTTCCAGTAATCTTCATACTTTCATCAGTCTTTCTTCATATTACTTCAAAATGTCTACACTCTTCTGCTGTGGTGCCATCGAACCTTATCGTCCTCAATACCTCTCCCATCAATCCAAGTTCAACAACTTCATGTCATGGGCTTCTTTCCCCAGAGAGTCTACTCTTGATGAGACCCAGCATGACCTCTCCCAGCTCAATCCCTCTTACGCAGTCCAGCTTGTTAGACAAGTAAACTTCCGCCCACTGGAGTCCAAAAGATACTTCATTCCTCAGAATACATCCGAAGGGCAATACGTTGAAGTGTCTGAGCAAGACTTGATCCAAGCCAACTTCAAGAAGCTAAATACGTAAGTCGACGCGTTTGTCCTACGGCATGAGAACCATGTCGACGATACTAAGAGTCCCTCCAGCTACAAGAACTACAAATGCGGTGGCCACAACAAGTTCTTTGAAGTGAACATCTACCAGAAAGACCCCGTCAACAAACACCACTGGCGCGCTAATATCGCGAGACCGGCTGGTTCAATCGACCTCTAAGCTGTTTGGCTAAGGCATTTTTGTAATCTAGCAGCAGAAATCAACTGTAATTGAATATTCAATGCACTTTGAGGTGAACTGCTTACATTTGTGGTTCCCTAATAGCGTCGCTCAAGACTGCTTCGCCACAGATGCGACTCACCGCATTTGCCCTGTCCTTGGGCAGCTCGTGATTAAAGTAGAAAGGGTGAAACCGAGAGTGCCTAGCGTTGAGATGCTATCCATCAACGATCACGATATTAGTGTTTCTACTGAGAGGAGTATTTCTCGGGTCAGGCTATTGCCAGTTGGAATAAGTCTCGCCAGCATCTGCGCTCTTTTCTTTCTGGAGAATCTTGGAGTGGCCCCTCACTAACTTCAAATGAGATTCGAGTACTGGAGACCTTCTAATAGTTCCATTTTATTCATATCTTATCAACTATAGTCTCTTATGCATCGCCCAAGTCTACAATCGCTCCTTAAAGGGTCAATAGCCTTTCCCGGCCCCATTTCTTACTGCAGGTGATACAATACATTAGAGAACTCACATCCTGTCTTGTCTTCAAATCTACAATACAATGTATTAGAGTCCGCCATATTTCAAATAACTCCACTTGGAGTCCAAGTCAAATTAAGAACTACGGTGCTGTATTTTATTGATAGGTTGTGTTTCACACATAGGGGCTACAATTTGGTCTTATGTACCTTGATATAGAACTTTAGTATTACTTATAGAACTGTTCAGCATTAAGAGTAGCAATATCCAGTATTTGTAACATATCTATCTGGCATTCCTGTCCGAAGAGGCTTACATCAAGGCCTGGAGACTCCAGCGTCACTAACAAAGGAATCTAGTATCACTAGCAGAAGAGCCTAGCAACGGTTGAGATGCTTACATGAAAATTTATTGCAGCCTTCTGTTTGGAAATTCCAGTCAATGCTACCTCGCCACTGCATCCCTGAGAGTGTGGTGCTCAAAGATTCAGTGATAGCCAAGACGTCTCAAGTACTCCAATGTCAGTCAGTGACTATGAGACCGCGGTCTTTCGTGAATCACGCAGTGAATACACTTAATCGTTAAAGACTCAGTGACGACTGAGATAATGATATACTCAGCCTGGCGCTACCCATGCTACCATCCTCTCCCACAGCACACCGACAAACGTGGCATCCTTCACAAACTACAACAAGGATTGCAGATTCTACGCTGTTTGTTGTTCCTGTCGTTACAATGGTAACTGAAATTTTCAGAGCGACCTATACCGAGCAAGACACCATAGAAAAGTTTTTGAACAACGTCTTTGGAGAAGGCAACGCGACTGTGCAGGTAAGAAGCTTTCTACTGATGATCTAGAGGTGCAAGGAAGCTGATATGATAATACAGTGGAAACAGGGCAAGTATAATCGTACGCTCCTGAGACATCTTACCGAGGTCAGTATATTCCCAAGTTGCTTGCAGCTCTCAACTCCATACTCACAGTAGAAGGCCGAAAAGAAAACGATGCAGGAATCCCTGAACGTTGAGCATCATGAAGAAACTAAGGATGGTGGTACTGGATAGATTGTCTGTCACGTGTAGACACACCTACTAGACATAAGTAGCTACTAGACATAAGTAGCTACTAGACACAAGTACCTACCAGGCATAACCCAAAAAGAACCATGACAAAGAAAAGTTCCCAAATTCCAGACTCCTTTACCATAACGTGAGTTACGCTAATTATTTGGGCACAAGTGCTGTTCAGCTCTTTGGGGAAAAGTCTCAATCATCTGTTGTTATGTGCTAAACGGATTGTCAACCTTTGCTAAACCGCATCGATGAGCGCCTGTATGCTCTAGCGAGGAATTGCATCGACAGCGACATTACCCTTTCTTATAGATTTTCCAACAGTTTCAGCTTTGTCGGCAGTCCATGGTTTGCCAATAACATAACCCGTCTTCTTAGTGCATTTCGAAGATAACTTCTGGAAAGCGTTTAAAATCTGTCTGGACGATGATCGATTTCGCCCTTGCGTAATGACTACTATCATCTCTTTTGAAATGATATCAAGAGTATCGTGTAAGAATTCAGAGCAATATGCACGTTGATGTAACTTGATAATCCACTTTTGAATATTAACAAGACCCTAAGGCATTCTTTCGGAACGACTTACTTCAACAACCTCGGCCTTTACCTGCACCGCGTAACTCTCTCTATCAGGTCTTCTTGTAAAAGAATAGAAAACATTGTTATTTGCACCGTTGATGGACATCGTGGTCCTTGCATCATCAAACTCTTCGACATATCGAGGTCCGCCTAAGAACCAGGTTATTAGCTCTAGAAACAAACACCCCATTGTCCAGATATCAAAGGCTCTTGATATAGTTCCGCCTTCAATTTTGCATTCGGGAGGGCAGTATCCAGGAACTGGGGGAACCCTTTGATTGGGGATGTTGGAGCAACTCTTAGCGCTGTTGAGAGTCGACAAGCCAAAGTCAGAAATGACTAAAACAATTTCATCTTCATCCCCTGATTTCTTAAAACAAAGAACGTTATCGCACTTGATGTCCCCATGTCTGCCATAGCCACTGGCTACTCCTTGGTCTATATGTTTCGGATTATGTATAGTCTGGAGCGCACCTATTAGTCCTAGCAGTTGGTTGGATAACCAGATTGTCACCTTGCGGTGCCTTGGGGGTTCTCTCCTCTCCAGGTATTCGCTGAGATCACAGATCGCACTAGGGAAGATAAAACCCCTTTCTTCTGCACATTGAAAAGCACACAGGGCGGTCACTAGGTGGGGGTGCTTGAGTCCGTTGAAAAGCTTAAGCATCTTCCACTCCTCTTGGAACTTTGAATCATTATCGTGGCTTGTGGTGTGAAGTGTCTTGATTGCAAACTTTGTACAATCAAGATTGATCTTTTGTTTGGCTTATCAGCTTCCCCTCGTTGTAAAATAGTATTTGAAGGGCTCTTACTCACACTTGCCAATAGTTGCTGATAGGAATGTGAAGTTGGGTGGATGTCGACTCTTGTCACTATTCCAAAAGTTCCCATATTATCTGAAACGTCATCATGGGCATCAGATGGTGTTTCGCGAGACCGACGCCACGGCTTGCAGGTGTCTTTATGTAGATAGTGCACTTTCAAAGGCTCATCCGCAGTCGAGCTGAAATATGGTGTATCAACTCTCCACTGATACGATTCAAAGTATTCTTTCTCCGAACTTTTCCAGCCTTCAAAACATGCGATAGGTGTGTTAGGTCCGGTTAGAGGATAGACTGTGTTGTTCTCAATCCTGATAGGTAGCTTCTGGTCGTTAAACCCAGCATTTACAAAATGCCGAATATCATGGCAGCGTTCTTGTAATACAAGCAGTGCGAAAACCTTAAGGAACGCTCCCAGTGGAGTATAGTCTGCTGAGACTTCCGCCTCTGGCGGATGGATTTTGTCGACGTATTTATCAACTTCCGGATCGTCAAATCCATATCCACGTCGTTTTAATTCGGCCTTAATTCTTGCTCGACTCAAGATATGCCGCAGCAACTTGTCAGTCCAAAATCGACCATTTACACCCTCCACACGATAATCTCGCAGGAGTTTCCCCAGGTCACCACATATACTCTCTATTATGACGAGTCCATTGCCTTCATACTTGTACTTCTCTCTCAGCGCCTTTCTAAGGCCACTAGGCTCGGTCTTTAGGTCTGTCATTTGATCTAATTGGTCGGCGTCGATTCTATGGGCCTAAATATCAATATAGTCGCAATCTAGGTCCGCGATAGCTCAATGTCACTTACTATGCGCATTCATATATCCCAGATTATCTTCTTGCAGCTGCGTGTATCCCTATATCCATCGATGATGTATATAGCTTTCTATTGGCAGCTTTCGTAAATCCAGATGGTTAGCCCTGTATGCTAGACCACAAGGCCCGCTCTGAGCAGTTTAGCCAAGTATAAGTAATTCAGGACCCAGAAAATCTTACCAATGGTGTATTGATTATCGAATCTTAGGCAGTAATATTTCTCTCATGCGGATAGCCATTTGTCATACGCTATTCGTCTCGAAAGCCACCCAGGCACTTTTCATTGGCTCGTGCGAGAAGTTTCAAGGGTTCGTCACACGTTGCAATGCCTTGACATAGCCATTGACTGTTGATCAACGCCCATGCATCAAGGAGGGGTAATTTTTTCAAAATATCGCAAGCACAGCCCCTTCAGGAAAGGTAAATAAGTGGCATGTGTGTGGATCAAAGGCTTGTCTGCCACAACTGTTTTCGCTCCTTCTAAAGTCAGTATCGTGACTCTGCAATACCAGAAAATCATGAATTGGGCAAATGACAACGCTATATGCTGCGAAAATGAAATTAGCAGAGTATTCAAGTATCAAGAGAGACCAACATGCCTCGTACGAGTACATTCAGACAGAAGGGTTTGTATTCTACCATCGAAACGGCTGCAGTTTACTAACAGTATTTCAGAACCCTTTGGTATGGACAATGTCTAATAGTAGTGATTGGAATGAATGGTTCAATCAGGTCGGTATTACCTTTTGCTCTTAAGCTTACTGAGACTCACGGCGTTCTAGCAGCACCCAAAGCTTGATGGATCAGACTCAGGCCTTGTTCTGGTGTATATAATCCCCTCATCCATAAGCTTCAGAAATTGATAATAGTGTTAGTCTATCAAGAAGAATCGGCGAACCCATTATCGATCCAGTGAAGAGTATCGAATCGAAAGACTGGATCAAGGCTATCCGAAAAGCAACAGTGCACGATAAAACTGCTTTGACAAAAGTCTGCACGGCACTGGCGGTCAGCGTAACTTACGAACATTGCCATTTTCCGAGCAGTGCTTTCAGGACATTTCAAAGAAGTTCTATATACATGACTCGATCAACCGTGTCGTAAGTCGAGCAAATGTTTCTCAGTTCTCGGCCGTCAAGCTAGAAATGGGCAGGCATGATGGTCATGAGCTACCAGCACATGGTACGTATCTCCTGATTAATGAACCCGGGTAACTTCTCAAGCCGGGACAGTATACAGCGCCCGAACTTCAAATGCTTGGGAGGGTGACCTTGCCGTATCTGCGACGTACTTCCCGCATTGCAGGCTCACATTCGCAGTCATGTTTGGCTGTCCGCTGTCTGTTGAAGCAGAGATATTGACACGGCTTGAAATGGCGACCTACGAGATATGCCACCCGCTATTGATCCCTAGTATGCTTGTCGAAATCGAGAGGCGACGCCATCTACCAATTATAGATCACACTCTTGATGGAATTGAAGCGCGGTTCCTGGAGGTGGACGATCCCGAGTCTCTGCAATACATAACAGAGGCAGAGAAGGTCACTCGCAAGGAAGCAAAGAGATCAGCCTGGCTAGACATGCTGTATCTCCGCAACCAGTTGATGAGCTGGAATACATGCTTGGAAGCCCTGTACGAACATGCAGATCACCTTAACCGGACAACATTTCGAGACATTGGTATTTCTTCTCAATTGGGGAATAGATCTGCCGAGGAGTTTAGTATTCACGGAGACAGTTCTTCAGACTCTGGCGCAGATTGGAATGCCCCAATTGATGGATTATGTTTGGGAAACAGCAAGGACAGCCAGGAAGCTAACAAAGCTAATACAGATGTCGTTCTTGCGGATCTTCAATTTGGCAATAGTCAAAACTTGGAGTCAATAAGAAGTTCCAGGGGCTATATGAGACGAACGGGTGCCAAAATGCAAGCAAGACTGCGGGGGGTTATCAAGGACTATAATGAAAAGATTCGAGAGTGCACAGCTGGTTTTGAAGGCATGGCCATGACGACGCAATGGGTTAGTCATCCTTTTGTCTTCTTTGTCTCTTTCGAAACCTTTGCTAACAGCGTCGAGACTCAAGGTGAAACGAACGTCGAGATAGCATTGGCGACTAGTCAGGCCTCACGTCATATGCGTTCCATCGCACTACTCACTATGATATTCCTCCCTGGAACCTTTTTTGCAGTAAGCCATGGCTCGAAAAGTTCGATAGCCTACTGACAGATCGGGTAGAGTATATTCTCGATGGGATTCTTTGAGTGGAAATCCGACGATGGCACTATATCTGTGTCTCAGTCCTTCTGGATCTACGTGGTCCTCGCCAAAGGCTTTACAGCTTTCACCGTTGGAGCTTGGTGGTACATCGGAGTCTATCGCTACAAGAGACACAAGAACATTTTCTCAGCACTCAGTGCAAGCCGTTTCCTGAGTCTAAGACCACTCAAGTCTTTGCGACATCGGATTGTGAAGGCTATAATGGAAAGGGTGAATAGAATTTCATCTCCTCCATAACTTTAGAACTTCGGTATTGTCGAGACTTATTACCCTAAATCACTAAAACAATTCTGCCTCGTTGCGCTTGAGATGCAGTTGGTCATTATCTTAGATTTTGGTGAAATAGATATAAGCAATTAATTGTGTTGTCGAGATTAGAAGGTCAAAGGTCTTAGTTATCAACTATAATTAAAATGTTATAACTGTTAGTAGAAAGCCTGAGACAGAGACTTAACATATTTCAACGGTTTAGAAATGCATTATTACTGTTATTTAGATATTTAATTTATATAATCTAATATAAACCTTGAAACCGTTATGATATCTAAAATTGTAACTTCGCCTCTCACCTACAGTAGACTTATTTCTTATTCGAAACATCTAGTAAAGACAGTCAGCCGAGAACAGAAGTCCGCCATTATGGAGCTATTACTTACTGAACTGGAAATGGATGATATCTCCATCTTGAACAACCTGCAGAGAATAAAAGTGAGCTTTTGTGGCAAGTCCAGCCGCTTGCACTTACATATGATTTTCCTTCTTGACGGTACTTGCCAGCTGCTTTGATGGGACCCATAGACTTTTGTCCTTCGCAAAGATCATGGAAGTCTTGATAAGCGACAACCTCAGCCTTGATGAAGCCTCTCTCAAAGTCACTGTGGATAGCACCAGCGGCTTGCGGAGCCAAGCAGCCCCTAGGAATAGTCCAGCATCGGATCTCCTTCTCGCCAGCTACATACTAGTCAGCTTTGATGTTTCCACTCGCATGATGTATACAAACCTGTGAAGTAGTATTGCAATCCAAGCTTTGTGAATCCTTCGGTGATAATCTTGTCCAACTTTGACTTAACCTTGATATCCTTAAGAAACTCAGCTTGAGCATCGGGGTCATCCTTCAAGCTGTGCAGCTTTTCTTCGAACTCGATCGAGAAGGGAATAATGTCACGCGGGGTACCGCCATGCTCAGTAACCCACTTGGCAATACCGGGGAGGTACTTGCACTTCTGTCGAAGGTAGTCCTTCATTGTCAAGTTGACGAGGTAAATGACTGGCTTGGTGGTAATGAGCTGAATCTTCTCGTTGATGAGGGCGATCTCGGCAGGTGTCCAGCTTCCATCTCGAACTGGTTGGTCCTTTTCCAACATCTGTTTCGTGTCAGTCTTGATTCCATTCCCTGATTGTTACTTGTTTTTCACTAACCTCTTTAATCTTGGTTGTTGTCTCAGTGAAAAGAGGCAACATCTTGTACTTGCCACCAGCCTTCTTGACGATAAGCTCTTCAGCGACGATTTGCTTCGCGAGAATATCTAAGACCGGTGTTAGTTTATCTCTTTACCGCAGAGATGGTACATACCGAGATCCTTCTTGCAGAGCTCGCTTTGAATGGTGTCTATATGAGCATTTGTCAGTTAAGTTGCCTCTAGATACAGTGCTGGACTCACCCAAGTCTCGAACAGGGTCAATCGAGTCATCGACATGCAAGACCTGATCATTATCGAATGCTCTGTTTAGTAACCCAGGTCAGCCTGGTTCCTTACCATTCTTTTCGACAGAACCTACCTGACAATATGGAACATGCCATCAACGGCCTGGATATGTGACAAGAAGGCATTTCCAAGACCCTCACCCTGAGAAGCTCCCTTGATCAAGCCAGCAATGTCGGTGACCTGAAGATAAGCAGGGTACATAGAAGGAGGCTTCCAGAGATCACAAAGAAAGTCCTGAATTTCACCGACTTAGCTCATCCCTCACCGACATTTGGCAGGATCTCAACTTACATATCTCGCATCCGGAACAGCACATCTCGCCTCATTAGGCTCAATCGTACAAAAGGGATAATTCTCCGCCGCAGCACTCTGCTCCGTCAAGAGGTTGAACAAGCTCGATTTTCCAACATTAGGAAGACCGACGCATCCCATCTTCAAGTTCTTGCGAACTCTTCCAAAGGCGACAACATTATCGATAACGGGCTCGGGTTTCTTGGGAGCCATTTTTGATAGATACTTGCTGAGATTGAGGTTGAGATGTTTTTTGTTGGTGTTTTTGTTTTGAGAGGATTCAAGGGATACGAGTGTGAGGAAGACTTTTCAGAAGTGGCCTGATAGCCCACTTTAAAGACATGGGTGTAGAGTGTTCTGGCCAGTTAGTCGAAAGCCACGTTGATACGCTGTAACCTCAAGAAAATATGAGAAAACGATGAATATCAATATTCATTGAGTTTATTCAATGTCTATTACGGTCTACTAGTTAAGATAAGTACAGAGAGGTTCCAGTCTAGTGCATACAATGCTTCGTATCGCCCAGTGAGGGAAAAAGGCATTCGTGAGGGGTATCACGTGAAGGACCCTGAAGATTTAGTGGAGGGGCGGAGATGCCGTTAATAAACAGGTCTAAGCCTAACTCGGCTTCGGTTAGGAAGCGAGCCAACGTTGAAACGTCGCAAGCACGGCCACAGCTGTGATTATCCCCAGCCACGACCAAGCCATCATTAGAGACTAGGTTTAGGACATCTACCTATGAGATGAAAAGCTTTAGGTAAATCAGGTAGAGACTTAGAAGACCTCCAGACCAGGCATCAGGTAATTCACCAATGGGTCTCGCAACAAAGTTGAACCGAACTCTCTAGTCTTATTATTCTAACTAGCACTCTAATTACCAGAATCCATGGGCCAGCCCATTACTTCCAGCACCCCATCACCCCAAGTCAAGGCATAATCTCTCCCCCTTCACCCCAGCCATTACATGCCTTGCTGCTTCTTATCCAAGCCTGCAAGAGGCTTTGTACCGTGCATTATATCTTAGTTGCAACCAGCAGCCTGAGCGTTTTGCTTGTTCTGGCCACCTTGGTGGTGACGAGCCTCGAGATCTCGCTTGCACTTGTTGGCCTGGGCGTTGTTGCCAGTTGCTGCGGCTGCGGCTTGGTTACGGTTGTTGCCATTGCGGTTGGCGCCGGCGGCGTTGGCCTTGTTGCCACCTTTAGCTCCCTGATGGTGGCGAGCGACGAGCTCCTCACGCTTGTTGTTCTTGCCGTTCCTGCCCTTGCCCTTTGCTCCCTGGTGGTGACGGGCTACAAGTTCCTCGTCACGCTTGTTGTTGTTGTTACCGTTGGCGTTACCGTTGTTGGCAGCGGCATTATTGTTGTTGTTGTTGCAGCCGTTGGCAGCAGCAGCAGCTCCAATACCATTGGCGTTACCGTTAGCGTTACCCTGGGCATTGCCTCCCTGGTTGCCTTGGTGGTGACGAGCTACAAGCTCCTCATCTCTCTTGTTGTTGGCATTGCATCCATTGGCGTTGGCATTGGCGCCAGCGTTAGCATTGTTGTTGGCGTTTTGACCCTGAGCCTGGTTGTTGTTTTGGCCCTGGGCCTGGTTGTTGTTGTTCTGTCCGCCCTGGTGATGGGGCTATGTTTGTTAGGTGAAGTGCTACCAATAGACATGAATACGACTAACCTCGCGTTTCTCGGCGCTGAAGATGGGGAGAGCGAGAGCGTCTGCAGGGAGAGCTGCAGCAGCCATTAAAGCCTTTTTTATGTTAGCTTTGAAGTACCATGACCATGGTAAGCAACTTACAGCAACATGTCCAAAGCTGGAGCGAGAAACTCGGCTATCTTGAGAGAAGGCCTGAGCGGCGAGGACAGTGACGACAACGTTGGAGAAATACATCTTGACTTGGAAGTGATGAAAAAAAGGTGTAGAAGTGGTTTTCTGACCGGCAGGTAAAATGAGAGTGGTGTAGAATAAAAGTAGGACTAGCCTTGAAAGTTGATAAGAAGAGAAAGACGTTTGCGTCAAGCAAAGCTAAGCTCAGATGATTGAAGAAGGAAATGAGTTGGTTGAAGAATTAAGATTAGAGTTGAGGATGCTAAGCTTCTTATACTTGTTGACATAGGCATGTTAAGCCTAACTTAAGATGATAACCCCAGATTCTCTCCGTCTTAGAATAGATCGTTGCCCCCTCGATCTCTCCAAGTTCAGAGAATCGTCAAACGCAAGCGCCAAGACAAGACCGATAGTGTTTGAAGACATGTTGGACATGATGCCGACATTGCCGCCCTGTTGAGTCAACAAAGCCGTATACTCTGTACGAAAAAGGCGCTTTCTCCTTGATACCCTCGTCGGCCTCCCGCTAGGCAACTTTGGGGTCAAGGTGTAGGGACGGTTAGAGCGGCCAATCATGAAACGCCAGCCTCGGCCGAAACCCAAGGCTCTGGTTGTTGTTTGCTTAAACGCGAAAACGCGAAGTGACATGCCAAAGTCGATGGTGGCGCGTGATTGGTGGAAGTAAAACTCAAACAAGTTTCGATGGTTTCATATGATTGGTCTAGAAGACACGACCCCTGACGGCTACGACGCATAGTGCCTCGCATTGCCTGAGAATATCACTCACCCCTGTTACAGATATTGTCTGAGCCTATAATTCTCGGTGACTAAGGGTTTACTATTCCTGATTCGAGATCTGTCAAACCCGTGAGGCTGGAACATTGTTTTAAGTGGGCAGTCTGGATGACTTCAAGTAGTATTCTGTTGTCGCACGAACCATTTCACGTTTCGTCTTGGCGTTTGAAGAGCTGTTATTGGGAGCCGATTATCCGCTCACTGTCGAGCATAAACGCCAAGTCAAAGAAGACCAATTATAGAATCAGGTTTTTGGGCATTGATATATACATCATTGCTCCAAAACTCGTCGCACTTTCTTTTTTCCCTCATCGCCCTGGAGGTTGACGTTCATTCTCTCACTGCAGGCCAGTCATTTTCTCTAGCTTTTTCGAGGTTCAGTTAATCATTTTCTGTAACAATGGGTTCAAAGTATCGTCCAGTTCCTGAAGATGAGGAGCAGCAAACTTATGAGAAGAACGCTCTCTTGTCACCTCTGCCCATTTACACCAACATCTCGCCCTTCATTTCACAACCAGGCGCACATCCAATCTTGATATGGATATGTCATGGCGTCTTACTCTCCTTCTCATTGGCGTTCTTCGCCCTTTCATTACTGCTTCGCGCCAGTCCTTTACAAAGTGGCGTTTGCAATCAGCCAAATTTCCCTTACTGTGAGTTTATCGCAGACGGTTCTTAAGCCTCTACTGATGTCGAATAGCTCCCGCAGAAAGTGTTGCAGACTTCCATACGGTCCGATACAATATCACTCCAGCCCTCGAGATGTCCGAGTTTGTCGGATACGGGCCCGAAGTTGACAAAGCGTGGAACCATGTCACATACGACGTCGGTGATCAAATGATTTCAAAAGCTGAGCTTGACAAATTGGGTCTTGACCCCCAATCTCTGAAGGTCAAGGATCCCAAGACAGGGCATACGGGCTATCGCGTCGGAATCCAAGTATTCCATCAGCTTCACTGTCTGAACTTGCTTCGACAAGACACCTACAGGGATTACTACTCCAAGATGGGTGGCGATATCGAGGTTGAGCCTGAAGACTTGAGAGGACATCTTGGTAAGTCGGACTCTTTGGGTCAGTTGCTTGATCAATCCTAATATGATTTGTAGATCACTGCATCGAGATTCTGCGAAACAACATAATGTGCCAGAGCGACACTGGTGTTTTCGCATTCAAGTATTACGATGGCTATGATGGTCACTGGCCTGATTTTAGCACGCTGCATACATGTCGGAACTTTGATGCCATTCGAGACTGGGCGTTTGAGCATGCTGTTGTATTTGGGGATGAGGACTGAACAAATCGTGGAAACCATTTAGATAGAAGTGTAAGACTAACTATAACTAAGAACTCTGGTGGTAGACAATGAGCCATTAATCTCGATCTTTACTCTCTCATTGACCTGGCTGCGCAGGCCTTCAACTGCAGTAAATTTATGACGTCGGCTTTTTCATGTGATAAATGATACCAGGCGTTATGCCTACCAGAAGAGTATTGATAAGAGTTGCGACAAACTTCCGACTTACATATGATGACTTCTGACTGGCTGAAATGATGTGGGGAGTTCATATCTCAGCTGTCAATTATTCACAGAATGAAACTGGGCATGCAAGCTGATAACGTCAGATGAAAAAGTCCCTGCAGAGTGCTCATTCAACCTTAGCCATGTCTGCATTTTAATTGGACCGTCTAACTGATCTGGTGGTGATAAGATAAGATGGCTCCGATAAGATCTTCAACACTACCCTACAGAGATAGATTTAAATAGTAAAGAGCCATATCTCGTGTAAAAGACCAGGTGTATGCATTGAATAATATTAAATCCAATATCTAGAGTTCCTATCATCTTTTTATTCTTTTCTTCAGAAGATTCCTTCGTTACTCTGAGCAATGTCATCTGGTTCTTACGTATTAGCAATTTTCACTAATGACTCGATCATTCTGAGGCAATGAACTGCTCAGTAAAGGCAATCCCTTGCTCCGAAATGTCCCAATTGACTCGCCAAGCCGGCATCGGCTTGAACCCCAGCATCACCTCCACAATCTATCAAGATAATGTGATCACTTTAACATAAGCTTAGCAAAAGTTCTCAAGCTCCGGTAGTTAACCATACCATAATGCTTCGTTTTAAGCTTACAGGGGATTGACCCGCCCAGATCAAGCCCGTGCGTCGGCAGAAGATCCTTCCAAGACGGGAAGGTCTCTTGGCGTCCGAAGTTCGGCTGTCTCGTATTTACCACGGCGGCCATTTCCTTTAACAGAAGGTCCAGGGGTTCATTTCCGAACACTAGCATAGGTACGGAATAGACACCGCGGCAAGCTGTCCACTCATGAGTCAATATGGCAGGTCGAATTTACGGAATAACTTGTGTAGTTGCTCTTATGGGGAATTGGCATAGATAAGGATGGCGAGTTATGCTGTGATGGGATGGACCTTTGATCTGGCTGAACGGAGATATGGCATAATTGGAAACGATCGCCATGAGATAGTAAGATGGATAGATTATGCCCGCTGTATATCGCTGATGAGAACAAGAGAACATAATTATAAATATCAAGTGTAGTTGCATAGATTATAGTCGATATCCTCATCTTCGTCTATCTCTTCACAACTCACCATCGCAACAATGGTTTCCAAGCTCGCTCTCGCTCTCTTCTTCGGCAACGCTCTGGCCGGTCTGGCCGGCCGCGCCATTCCTCCTCGCTGTGCCATCGCCGACCCTACCCCCGAGCAAGTTCAGCACGCTCAGAACCTGAAGAAGATCGAGTCCGTCTCCAAAGTCGCCGCGACCTCCATCACCGTCGACACCTACTTCCACGTTGTGTCTTCATCCTCCTCAAAGTACATCACCAAGGCTAAGCTCCAAGCCCAGCTCAAGGCCTTGAACGATGCTTACGGTCCTCATGATGTTACCTTCAACCTCATCGATACCACTTTCACCACCAACTCTAACTGGGCTGCTGGAAATGGCGAGGTTGCGATGAAGAGACAGCTTCGTCAGGGTGATTACAAGACTCTCAACTTGTACTTCACTGACGTTGCCAAGCTTGATGGCCTTGATGCTCTTGGATACTGCTTCTTCCCTGAGCCTAATGTCTCAACTGGATCTTCAACCTTCATCCGCGACGGTTGCGTCATTGTCGCTGAGACCGTCCCCGGAGGTTCAATGGCTCCTTATAACCTCGGTGGAACTGCTGTTCACGAGGTCGGTCATTGGTTCAACCTCTTCCATACTTTCCAGGATGGCTGCACTGGTGGAGATCTGGTTAGCGATACCCCTGCTCAGGCTAGCCAAACCAGTGGATGCCCTGCTCGACGGGATAGCTGCCCTAACCAGGCTGGTGATGACCCCATCCACAACTTTATGGATTACTCCGACGAGTAAGTTATTCCCGAAACGTTGATTGATACAATTACTAATGGTTAATTGTAGTGTTTGCTACGAGGAGTTTACCCCTGGTCAGAAGACCCGCATGCACAGTGCTTGGACCACTTACCGCAAGTAGATTTGCGATTATGAGATGAGATGAGATGAGATGTATATAAATGTTTGTACATATTTCTGCATGGGAGCGAGATGGAGTTTGTGAGTTGATGGGCATGACTGTATTGGTGTTATCTGGATAGCGAGTATGAGATTAGACATGAAGAGATGAGTTGATCTGAGACGTTTCACAGGTTTTAGTCAATTGTACACCCTGTACGGGGTATAGTGAAACCACGGTTCCTTCGGTAGTCGCCGTGAAATCCTTTGAAACTTCGGCCAATCCCGAGAGATTCCCTCACAAAACCCATTCATCTTCTCAAGCTCAAGGAGGATACTGGCTTGAGTGGCCTGCCCACTCTGGCACACTTGAACAAGCTGGTTCAGGCTGGCAAGCACCGCAGCTTGCGAACTTTCCAGGGAGCAGGGTTGGTAAAGGGCAGTGTTCACACTTGGTGAAGTCGGGGGAGATGGCGATGGGGCTTGGTCTGGGGTAAGGTGGCTTGAGCAGTGGCTGGTGGGGCAGGCGGGACGCGAGTCGGCGGGTGAGGGATCCGGACAATGCGTTGGGCCTGGCGATGTCGTGAAGCGTTGGTCGAGTGTATGCATTAAATAATATTAATCCAATATCTAGAGTCCCTATCATCTTTTTATTCCTGATCAGGTGCCAAAGCACGTGCCGTGCCACGTGACTGTTGCGTTTTATTCATGTTGATTAAAAAAAGGCCAGAGCGCAGAAAACAGGAGGCAGGGCTCAGACTGCGATGCGACGTCTAGACAGCTCTAGTATAAAGAAATAAGAACTTAGAGCAAAGTCCCCTAAACCTAGTTCAGTATTAGGGGCACCTCCTCCAAATAAGGAGGAACATATTTTTTCTGCGCCCTCGATCAGATAATATTGAGGGACCATAGCGAACGGCGATCGAGTCGAAGCTGGAGCTGCATCCATAGCAGGAGGTACAGCAGCATGAAGAGGAGGAGTTGAGACATGAGATAGATCAAGAGTAAGAGTAAGAGTAGGAAAGGTAGGAGTAGTAACAAGACTGTAAGTGGCATTATGGCGGGAATCGTGGCTATAACCGATGTCGCAGTTGGTGACGGAGGACGAGGAGGTGCAGCAGGAGCTGGGACTCCTGTGGTCGGAAGCTGTTTTTGGCGCTGTCGAGAGGCGAAAGTTGATGATTGCACCTGTGGTACACCATTTTCCATGATAGGTGGCTGTCTCGATGAGCGAACCATTGCTGTTCGTGTAAGGGGAGGAGAATGACACAAGTAACAAATGTGTAGTGACTATTAGAATAAAAGTTAGGCCTGATGAGGGACGCGTAGCATGGGCAGACTTTCAAGCCCTAGGCACGTGAAGTACAAACTATCCGGCCTCTCCAAACTCTGCTTGAGTGGCGTTGATTGAATCTTGCCTGCTAGCCTGATGCTTTTCGAGATGATGATAGTTACTGATCACCATGAGCCGCCGACAATGAAGAAGGAACGTGTCCATCTATTCGCATAAAGTGTGATGAAAAATAATAAAAGATTAGATCAAACTAGGGTATGCCCATGTTAACACATCGATCATATGATAAGGTTTCGGCGTACCTTGGACCGTGATGTAGGTAGTTGACATGCTACCCGAAATATGCTTTTGAGGGTGTTACTTTGAGCTGGTAAACCTGGCAGCTGATGCATCAGATACCAATCAGACTCTAATTGAATTATCTTTCAAGGACCATAATGAACCCAAGTCGCCCAAAATCTCGGATCAACACCAGCTTGCCGCTGTTCCAGAACAGCTTGTCTCAACGCCCTCGCGGACCGATCCCCCGTGACACCCATCCCTCCTTTCAGTAAATCCGCATAAAACACCTTGGAGACAAGACCACAAGTCTCATCTTCTGCCTTCCACAGACTAGCCACTACACAGGGTACACCCGCCATTTGGAACCCAGCCGCAAGATGGATCGATTCCTCGGGAAGCATTGGATCACCCGTGATGGCTGTTTCACAGGCGGATACATAGATGAGAGAGCAGTTCAGCTTTTTTGGCGCTGACATCATGCTTTGAACGTCGAGGACGTTTCCTCTTGTGATGCCGCCATTTGCATCTTGGGTGTACCAGTCGCGTAGGAGAAGTCCGCTACGTGCTGGATTTAAGTTGTCGACTTCCCCGTGGCAGGCGAAGTGTGCGACCTGCGAGTTCAATAGACCCACGAGGGCCTCCTTTCGGACTGGACGGTCATGGATTACGGCCTCGTATCCTCCGCGAGTGAGAATGGTGTCAATAGCTTCGATCTCGCTTGAGGCATATTGAAGCGGCGCAAGGTGGTCTGTTGTCTCCATCTTGACCAGCATCGCTTTCTGATGTCCGCCATATTGCATGACCTCTTTCTCACGATGTCTCACAAATGACAAACCTCGAAGGGTATTTATATACGATGGAACGCATCGATCCAGCACCGTGCAGCGCTCTCCCGTTTCTCCTGCCCTTCGATGATCTCCAGCCGCATGAATGGGCCAAGCATTAATGCTGCTTGTCGTCAACCACCATACCCTCGGCAAATTTACATCTTTGGGAGCCCCATCATACCCCAGACTGAGTAGAATGGGTTCTGCTACAACGTCCCAGAGCCACGTAAGTAGATAATGGAGAAGATCCCCGCCTTGACCATCTCCGTCACTCGACATATCAATGGCTTCACGAAAGAGCTTTTTATGCTCCCTGATATCATCAACAGTGAATTTGGGAAGTGACATCTTCCGGATGTCAGTGGTGGTTATGATGAGAGCGTAGCCACCACTCAGAGGTTCTGTTTC